CGGAAGAGATGTTTTTATAAATCTCCTCATATGTTGCCTTTAAGTTGCTGCTGAGTTGCTTGCATTTCTGATAGTTGTAATGTTCTGACAAGGTTTTAGCTTCACAGAACCAGAGAGGGCAGACATACAATAAATCTGCACATTTTCAATGGTTCTAGTTGATTTTGGTTAGCTTTTGTGTGAAAGATGTAATAAGAAAAAAATCACTTCAGTTGCTGGTGCTTACAGTTTACTCCCATCTAGAGTTAGGACTGAGCTTACCATGTATATTTATAAGTCTTTTCTAAAAAAAAACAAAAACAAAAAACAAGGATGGATGTTAAATTTCTTATAAAACTTAAAGAAAAATATTGCACAGTGATAAAATGTCTGATGAATTGAGTCTGTTTGCGGTTAATAGCTTGTGGGTCCTGCGGAGGTGCGTTACCTCCTGTATTCATGCAGGTAGTACTAGGTGCTAGTAGTAGCCTCTGATGTGATGCAACTGTCCTAGAGGTTACACCTCTCCCCTCTAATGCAGACCTCAATGTATTGATCCGTGCCTCAGCTGCCTATAATGTAGTTACATATTTTGGGGTTAAGTTTCAATATAAGCTGAGGTCTGTGTGGTGCAGCTGCAAATCTTTGTGAGATGAGCCTTTAGTAATTTTTATGAAAGCACTGTAGTGGTTCCTTTCTCGTATCTGGAAACTGTTCAAGATTTGGCGAGTGTAGTTAATATTTTGAATAGACTTGGATCTGGATATTTGAAACCTTCCTCTATGCCTCCAAATCCATGCTGTCACAGCAGTTAACAGCTGCCAGAGTGCTCGTCCTAGAAGGCACGGGGAAGAGCTATCTAGGTTGAAGGGTAGGATGTTTTCTGTGCAGGTTTTTGCCTTCTACTCATGGTGGTCTGCCAACCCTTGAGTTTGGTTTCCATCAGGACATAATTAAGGAAATGTTTTGATTAAATACTTATTTCCCCTTTTGTGTTGTGTTTTGGTTTGTGTAACTCACCTTTTCTGGCTAGCCTTCTAGTTGGTTGTGATTTCAAAAGAGCATGTGCATTGTATGGAGCAGGCACATAGTCACCTGCATGGACATGCATTAAACACATCGTTACCTCAGCTGCCATACAGGTTAGATGGTTGTGTGCAGTAGGGAGTAGCTGCCAGTTATCTGTCCCAAGCCAGTTTAGCAACACAGTTTCTTGCCCAAGATTAGGGGAGGAGGATCATCTGTTAAAATGCTGGGGGCAGGGGGAGTTCTGCCATAGCACTTTGATATTGGTATGCCTAATTAAGCTCCATCATGCGTTTTTGATACGTGCGCTGTCATCCGGCTCCCTGGTGGGCCAGAATGGTGTTGTAGCTCTTCAAGAAAGAGAAGTGTCTGGCTGTCTGGTGGAGGGATGTTATTTCTCCAGTGGTTGCATTCTGTCGTATTTCCCCAATGAGTTGGCAGTGTTTGTACGTATGCAAAGTGTGCAATCTCTTTAAGATGGCAAGCCCCAACCAACATATCTACCATCCTGACTCTGGTGCCTTTTTTTTTTAGGAACTGCTTCACTTTACTTTTCCAGTACTTTTTTTTTTTTTTTTTTTGCGCTACAAACATTTCCCATAACACTTCTTTCCTCCTGCTACTTGAGGCTAGGCAACTCTGTGTTTTATGGGGCCTCAAACTTCCCCCACTCAAGACATTTTTGGCATGGGGGGGAAGAAGACCCTTGGCTATCAGAGGTGAAACTAGTGCCCTGAATCCTAGTAATAATTTTGAGGTAGAGACAAACTTTCTCCAGCCTTCTTCCTGTTAATTCCAGCTTCTAAAGGGTATGGAGAAGCTTTTTCTTTTCTCCATTTTTTTTTTTCCCTCATGAGAGTCCTCACTAAGCATACTCATGTTAATAGACAGCTTAATATGATGCAGTTCTGTTGGAATTAGTCCAAGCTATTTGTGGTTTTAGGTGGACTTTTAGAGAGAGAATAAGTTACTAAAATCTCAGTGCTGCTGTAGTTTCTTTCTGATTACTAAAGCATGCAAATGTAAACATTACATTTGGTCCCCTCTTGCTTCTAGCTGTCCTCCTAGATTTTTGATCAAGCTAAGCAGAGTTCGACCTCCAACCTCTGCAGACAATGGTGTCAGATTCTGACGGGTGTTCTTTTCACTGTTCCTCCAGCTGCTGCAGATGCTGTTTTTCAACAAGATTATTTTTAAAAGTCTCTTGTGGCAACTTTTGCAAGAACTGGGATGCTAGACCTGTCCTGGCAAAACTCCAGCTTGGGTAATTGCATTATGCCTCTTTATTGCTCCTTTCTTTCCCTCTGTGTTTATTAGAATGGGTGGCAGAATCTTATCCAATAAGTAAATATAAGGCTATAGGACATTAAATGTGTCTTGTACATGATACTTACAGCCTGCAAACCATGATCGTGAGAGCTTTTGAGATTTACTTGGAATTGGCAGGAAATGTGAATCTGCTTAAGGAAAGAGAAGCGTTCTTGGATGCTAAGACACCTCAGAGAGTTGGGTTGGGAATCATCCCAGCTGCAGTCCAGTTTGCTATTATTAGGAATAACTGACTTTGCAGCACCAGCAGAGGGCAATGTCCACGGCCAGTATCTAAAGTGGGAGGAATACACAAAATTGTCTAGAATTGCATTCTTGTATTGCAGCAGTTTCCCCCACATTCAGCATGTGAGTGTCCTGTGGAAGCTGGAGATGCAGAAGTAGAACCGCTATGCAAGTGTGCAGGTGTGTTGGAGCTGTCAAAAGAAAAGAAACTGAGATGTAACAAAAAAGAAAGACTAGAAGAGAGAGAGTCTTAATGCTGCTGCTTGTATCTAAAAGGTTGAAAAGTTCTTCTCTATTGTCCCTCCTCCAACAGAAAGATGTAGGTTAGGTCACTCTCCCTAAATGAAAGATATAAGCAAGTGTTTCGTGTAAGTAATTTTATTAACTTCCAGTTTCATTTGATTCCTCTCATTTGAACCATTGTGATAGGAATATTGCAATTTATTGTAGCCTGCAGCCTTCGGTATTTAGGATGAGATGTCAGACCACATATTGTACAATAGTAGTACCCTTGCTGTAAGCCAAAACTAAAGCACAGATTCCTGGGGCATGACTTAACTCTTCCATTGCTGCATCTTTTCATTATGTATAGGGTACGTTTGTTATGTAATTCTACTTTCATCAGGTTTTTTAAATGTACTCTCCACAAATCCCTCGGCATACCCAAAATTACAGTGCAAATATTAAATGTAAATCCACACTCAGTGTCTGAAGCATATTCTCCCCTGAGCACCGATATCATTTACTGGCAAAAGTCTGAATAAACATGTTTTATAAAAGCTACATATTTTTTTTAAGAACTTTTCCATTTGAGTTAGTTAAATGGGACAGCTTAATGAAGCACATGGCTTTATGGAGAAGAGGTGTTGTGCCTGCTTTATGAAATTGGTAATGACAATTGCTTGGTAATTGGTACTTCAGGAGCTTGTATATTCAATAGGCCTGAGCTTGCAGAGGATGGCTAAAATCGTAGATTTAAAATCCTGTCTAGAAAAATTTCCCCGAGTGCATTAACTCTCTCTGAAGCCACATACACACGATCCATTTCTACTGGGAGAATCGCAACTCTCCTGGTAGAAACCACAATTGTACAGACATTCCAGCTCTCGCTCCCAGAGGAAAAATGGTGGTTCCAGTAGAAAAATAACCTGACTCCAACCAGTTAGAAGTTGCTCCCAGGAGAGTTTCTCCTAGGAGAATGATCACCGTGATCCGGGGAAGGTGGAAGGAGCAGGCGACAGTTGCAGTCTCCTTCTGAAATCATTTCTCCTGGTGGAAATTTTCCACCACGAGAAATGAATGCTTGTATGCAGCCTGTGTAATTTGGCAAAGAAAGGCTGTCACAGACCGGATGCTTCAAGAAATAAAACGTAAACCATTAGCGATAAGAAGTTAGAAATCTGTTGGAATGTTGAGGAAGAAACCCTGCTTTCCTATTGGTTAGTGTGCTCATCTGTTAACAATCCTGCTAATATGCAGAGCACTGTATCCATGGCAATGTGCTGTTCAACTTCTAACTTAATTTTCATGCAAACACAAGGTAATAACTGATTTTGTATCTCTCTGGCTTATAGTAAGAATGGCTATTGTAGATGAGACATTTCCTCTCAGCTGGCCTTGTTTTGGTTTAAAGTTGGGGTTGACCTTAGGCACCCTCAGCTGTCAGGAAGTGCAGTATCCCTGGTTGTCATTGTTTGCAGTAAACTGGTGAATTACTACCTAAGAAACATCTGTGCAGTTTTATTGTATCAGAAGTAGTAGTTTGAGAGCAGTTCTTATTGGGGCTAATATGTGTGGAGGGGTTGCAGGGACTCAATAGGCATGAAAACCAAATCCCCCTGCAAGGAAAGTTACTACCACATCAGGGTTTAGGCACGTTGCTGGGAAAGAGGAGAGAACCATGAATTGAAAAAGGTCAGCAAGGGGAAACCAGGATTTGGATGAGAATGGGAAACAAAATCTTTAGGCATGCAGAGTAGGGATGATGCAAGCAAATGAGATGACTGGGCCAGCAGATGGCAAATGTAAAATAAGTGCATTTTCAGTGGGGCAGTCATCTAGAACGCTGATCAGGAGAAGGATTTGAGGGATTACCATGGAGAAACCTTAAAGCAGTCAGCCAAGAGGCAGGTCTAATATAGGAAAGAAGAGTCAGATATAGTCATTAAATACTGCTCTTGCTCTAGTTAGTTAGTGAATACAGTAACTTTGCAACAGATTTAGTTTTTGGAAAATCTCAGGTGCAAAAGTTTGCTTAAAGTTTCTTTCCTCTATCCTGTCCCAGTTCATTGTCTGAATCCATACTTAAATGATAAAATGTCTTCCTTTATCCTGTTCTCTTGCTTTGTCTATCAATGCCTACCAATTTATATTTAATGGGTATTGTGAGATCATGCAAATGGTGAAAAAAAGTTCCTCAGCTTGGGACTGGATTGTCTTTTTGGCATAGCCACAGCCTTCCTGTCTTACCTTGGATGGATTGAATACCCTCATGCTTTATTTTCTCTCTCTGTAAAATGGAGATATTACCTGTCTCCCAAGGATGATGTTCAAAATACTTCACGTAAAATGCTTTGAAATCTAGTGAAATCTGTAAGTCCTGAGTATTATTTCTGTTGTGTATATATAACGTGCTAGTTTTATGATCTTCAAGGAATGGCCTTTTAATATGGTGCCTTGAGGTTGTTTTGATGTCACAGACTTATTTCTGATTCTTTGTGATGCTAGTGTCCCATCTGCTTATGGCAGCTGCTAAGGAAAGACCACTTAGGCAAATGATTGGTCTTTGGGATTTTCCCACCTCAGTGATTGCAGATGTGTGGGAGACAGATGCAGGCAGTGTTGTGGATAATCACAGTATCTGGCTGTGTTCAGCAGTTAACTCAAAGAGGGAAAAGCATTGCAGCACAACACTAGCTAATCAGACACAGAACAGGAATTGTTTCTTACATTGCTGTACATTGGGACTGACTCCACTGAGCTCAGCCAAATTAAAACCATGATAAACGAGGAAGAACAAGGCCTGCTGGTTTCTGCTATGTGAAATTAAGGAGAATGGATCTGAACAGGACCTTGATGTCTTCTGCCAAAAAATTGCGTCATCAGTTCATTGTGCAATATATGCACTGGTACTTTGGCACTCGCCTATTTAGCAGGAGCTGCTCTGTGACACACTTGTGAAATCCTTTCAGCTGAGAGTTATCATGTAAAAAATGCAAGACTTGCAATAAAATAGACATAGGCAGGTCTTCTTTTGTACATTTCTGAATGCCTTCATTGGCAGCTTCCAAAACTGCTTCCTTTGCAGCAATTAATTTTAGAGGTATGTACTTCCACTTCACCTCAGGCTAGCGTCAGAAAAAACCCCTGTACCGGGACAGACTTCTTTCCTTGCAAGCAGCACTAACATACCAGTTGCCTTTCTATTTTAACAATTTGTATGGCCCCTTTAACATAGTAATGGAGCATCTCGATCCTTAGTGTACTTATTCTTTCCAAGTTTTAGACCAATGCCATTGGGCTCTTCTTTTTCTCTGAATCCAAATTTCTTAGGTGTATGATTTGTTCACTGCAACTAAATTCAAGTTGTCAGTGAATTGGCTGCAGCCCTTTGGGATGCATTGTCAGCCAACCAGATTACATATGTGAATCAATGTTCTCAGCATCAGACTTAGTGAACTCTGCAAAGATGTCAACCAAAGGAGACAAGACGGAGTCGTCTCATAACCCTTGAGTGAATTTTGAGAGAGGATTTTCTTTCTGTATGTAATAGTACCAAGTAGTGTCTGCTTCTGGGTGAAGAACTTTTCAGTGTTGAATAATTAATTAGTTATTCTATGAATGATACATTGGTGCAAACAGAGGAAGTGGACTTAATTGCAGGCTGAACTGAAGTTCTACAAACACCTTACAGTCAAAACCTGTGTTTCCAAAAATCATTATACTCATTCAATTTTTCTTTCTCTGTTGTTTTTTTTTTTTTTTTCAATGGTTCTGTTTCAGACTGAGCATTCTTCACGGTCAGAAAGGAAGCGACGCGACTCATTCGGGATGTTTGACGGGTATGATAGTTGCAGTGAGGATACTAGCAGCAGCTCAAGCTCCGATGAGAGTGAAGAGGAAGTTGCTCCATTGCCCTCCAGTCTCCCAATTATCAAAAATAATGGACAGGTCTACACTTACCCGGATGGTAAATCCGGCATGGGTGAGTACACAGCTTTTCAGGTATTTAGTTTTTGGATTTTCAGTCCAGTTGCTCTTAGGTGATCATATCTTGTGCTTTGTTTCTGTCAGTCCAAGTTGGCAGGTGTCTGTGTCCAAGGCCAAATATACAGGGAGAAAACATTTAATGCTCATGTGAAATGTGTCATTGTGAAAACAAGGCGGGATCAACTGAAAGTTTTTATTTCTGGCAGACTGAAACAAGATATAGCTCCTATTCAGCTGTCAAGAAATGTAAAATTCCTATGCATATAAATGGGATTTGTGCCTTATTGGCCAGCTTCTATTCCACCTATTAAGCACATAAGTGGACTTAAGGTGCTTAAGTGCAGTACTGCTTCATCCTGCTTAAGTTCCTGAAAATCAGTTAATGCATCTGGCTCTTCCTTTCTGCTTTTTTTTTTTTTTTTTTGACTCAGTCTTAAATCTTGACTCAGTCTTGTGTGTTGCAAAAGTATAAATTGATTTTCAGGACTTGAACAGGATCTCACTTAGATGCCTTTAGGAAGTATAGCCAGAGTTCCTTTACATTATATATCAGTTTGCAATGCATCGCAGATTTTTGTTGCTGTTGTTTTTTTATGGTAGTAAATATTCTGGCAAGGTTATTTAATAGGGGTAAAGAATATTTACTACCATAAAAAAAACAACAGCAACAAAAACCTGTGATGCATGTTGTTTTGAAAAAGTAGCAAGGTTACTTTAAACACCAGAAAGCAACATCAGGCCAGATCCATTGCATATCAATGGAATGTTTTCTATGAAGGGAAACCACATGCCTGACAGATCATGGTGGTACAAGGCACTTGCAGCCTGTATTGAATGGTTACCCAAGAGCTAACCATATAGTGCACCCCTAAAATGTGTGTTTCTAGAAGTACGAGTGGCCGAGACACTTGAGGGAGAACAGAAAATACTCGAGCCTTTTTTTGGATTGACAGTAGAAATAAGTTGCATGAGGTCTAGATTTGTAGACACAATCTAGAAGTTACTTGGAAAATGAGCAGCACATTTGGTGAGGATTAACTTTTGACTAGTCTTTCACTTGTATTCCTGTATGAGGGGAAATTGAAGAAACTGAAAGTAGATACCATTTCAGCTGTGAATTTGGGAAGACCTTAGTGCTTAAGTAGTTTCACTGAAGCCTCTGGGAGTAAAATTACAGACTTGCTTTACAGAGGAGATGTCCAACCTGCAGCATGCACGCCAGATGTGGCATGAGCAGCCTGTGTGCAGCACACGGGATATCAAGGAGGGGACAGACAATGCAGTGGCACATCAAGCACGGAGCATGTGCTGGCATCCACCTCAGGACAGCCATGGCACCCCCCCACCAGTGGCCAGATTAATTCTGCGATACCCACTCTGGTCACTGAACAGTAGATTTGGCAGGGGGAGGGGATTGGAGTGACACTGGGAGTGCATGCAGGGCTAATTTCATAGAACAGGAAGGCTTGAAGGGATCTACAGAGGTTATCTAGTCCAGACCCTGCATAAGGCAGGACCATTCCTATCCAAACTACTTATACAAATTCATTGTCTAACCTATTAGAAAAAAGCTACACAGTCAACCCAAACACAACCACGGGAGAAACTATCCTCCCATGGGTAAAGCAGGAGGACCACAGTGCCTAACTGCAAATGTTGTTAAAATATGCTCAAGAGATCCATGAAAGGCAGCCATGGCCCCCACAACAGAAGAAGGCAGAAACCCCATAGTCCATACCAAGCTGATCACAACATAAAATTATTTCTTGACCCCCAAATATGGCAGTCTGTCTGACGCTGAGCAGTGGGGCAAGACCCTGCCTGCCAAAAAAGTTTGGCCCCCTGCTGCTTTTCAGGATCTGGACCTAATTGTTAGGTTACCGATGGTGGAGAATGAAACTAAGGGGGGCTGCCATCCGAAGGACCTCTCTGGTGGAATTGCCTCTCCAGCTTTTTACTGCACTGGTTTATCTGAATCTTTATTACACTCTTATGGTTTGGCTTTTGTTCTTTCTTGATTAGCTACATGTGAGATGTGTGGGATGGTTGGCGTCCGAGATGCTTTTTATTCTAAAACAAAACGCTTCTGCAGTGTTTCATGCTCCAGAAGTTACTCGTCGAACTCCAAGAAGGCCAGCATTCTGGCCAGACTTCAGGTAACGGTACAGAAACCATCTTCTTTATCTACTTCTCCTAAAATGCTCGTTTGTTTAAATGCATGTCTGTCTGCAGTCAGTCTGGGATCCATGCATGTTTTTTAAAAGAATTGGATTCTTATAAACTGAACATGTTGACATAGACGATTTTGAGAAAAAATTAACAACATACCATCTATCTGTAGTTTCAGCTGAATGGAAATCTGTTCCTGAGTGAATTATAAAACTGGAAGTTGGTCTCAGGCACTTAGTTAACTGAATTTCAGATTGCCATACCTGGGAGTTGGGCGGGGTGTGGGAAGATGTTTCGGCCACTTCTGGAGTCTGCTTTTGTGGCTTCAAGTTTCACTTGAGTGTAGCTCATGTAATATTTGCTTGATCAGCTTCCATTCTTTGGGTTTTTTTTAACATTTTTGCAGAGCCTCTGGAGAGCTACAGTTTTCTTTAGAAAATTATTTTCTTGTAACCTTTTTAAAGCTTCTTAAAGTGGTTTTGTGTATTTGAGTGAGAGGCCTGCTGCACGCATATAATAGGTTTTAGGAGGAGCTTGGAGAGAGTGTGTTTACTTAACTCTTGTTGTTTCAGGGTAAACCACCAACTAAGAAGGCGAAAGTTCTACAGAAACAACCGTTAGTGGCTAAACTAGCAGCATATGCTCAGTATCAAGCTACGTTACAAAACCAGGCAAAGACTAAAACAGGTAACTGTGTATGATAGAGCTGAAACTAATTCTTGGAAATATAAGATTTGAGGTTCACTTCCTAAATGAAATGACTTTCTTTTAGCAGCTGTCCCCGTGGAAGGCTTCAGCTGGGGTAACTACATCAATAGCAATAGCTTTACAGCAGCTCCCGTTACCTGTTTCAAACATGTAAGTACACTGCAGTGTTTTTTGCAGAGGTATTTTAACTGTCTTTAGACAAAAAAAGGAACAACACAGTTGGTTCATACTTTATCACTCCTTTAAAGACACTTTTTAGCATCCTGAAAATTGATTTACAAAGGAATATTTTATAGTGCATTCATTTAAAAGGGAAATCTGCACACTTTATTCTTCTCCCGAAAAGCATTCTGAATATCATCAGCTGCTTGTATGTAACTTAATTTGCAAACTACAAGTTTGTATCATAAGTCGCAATGAATTTTTATCCCACGCTTTAAAAGACTAAATCATGGGTTATTTCAAATTATAGAATATAAACCAAACCAACCACGTAATGAGAAAATGGATAAAAAGGAGAATGTTTGTTAGAACAAGTCAAACATCCTGCAACATGTATAGAAATGATCTGGCAGTTGCAAATTTTTTTCTGTATTATTTTTTAATTGGATTTTTACGGTCAGCTATGTTATTTAGAGGAGGGGGAAGATAGGAAAACTTTTATAGTTCTGATGGTAGAGTTATTCTGCTGCACTTCTTTTCTTTGTATGTGGTATAAGGGGAATGCAGGAAGTGCTGATTACACATTATGGACCTTAAGTATCGGTTGAGTAAGATTATACATCTTTTAGCAGCATCTTGTTTGCACGTTTGCAGAAATAAATTAATTTATCATTTGTTGAAAATTTTTGGCCAAGACATTTTCATGGAAAGTTTCATTTTTGAGAAAATGAATTTTTGTACAGAAAGCTCCTGCTCTTTCAAAAATAACTTTTGTTTTTCATTGAAAAACTGGAAAAAGTCAGCTGAAATATATTAAAAAATCTTTACAGAAGTCTCAACTTTCTGCTTAACATTTTAAAAGAAATGTATTTTTTATAGGGATTTTGCACAGAAAAATTTCATAGAAATTTTCCAGTTTCATGCTAAGTACTGTCAAATTACATATCAACAGGAATTGATAGGCAGTTGGTGCTTTGCTAAAGGACCTCTGTGTTTAAAAACCCTGGTGTTGCATAGAGCAGAGTCCTGCCCTGTGTTAATATAGTTTTATGCCTTTGTGCTAAACTCCGCTTGCTTGAATGAGCCTGTCTCACTTTGGTTTCACAATTATATATATGTTGTAATGTGTCATTTCATAAGTACATCAGAGAGTATTTGATAAGATCAGCCTTTGCCGTTTGAACACAAATGCTATATAGAATTCAGTATCATTCATACTTTTAAATACAAAGTACATGTTAAATACAAATACATATTCAACTAGAGCAATAGCTGTTTAAGTTTATGTGTAGTAAGCCAGTTGCCACTGATAAGGAGTTAAACTGCTTCTATAATTCCTATGTCCTGATGGCTCAGGAGTAAAGAATTCAAGGTTACAAGCATGCTTATTTGTTGCTTTATTTAACAATAGAAAATATTTTGGAGGACAAGAACTAATAACCTAGCACTTTGGTCCATCAGACCTTCAGATGAAGGCTTGGTGTATGGTTTGTCTAGGATGCTAAGTCGGTTCAAAAGTTTATTTTAAATGGGAACAATTATACCAAAATGTATAGGCTGCACCTTTGAAAAGAAGTCTGACAAGTATGTTGTTTCTCTGCATATGTGGCTCATCACTACAAGGAAGGGATGCCACCCTAAACCATAAAAAGAAATTTCTTGTTATCACGTTACCGTAGTACCGGTTGTTGTTTTTGCTCAATGTACTATATATTCCCAGAATCAGTAAGGCTTAATTCCTATTAAAAGTTTTGTTTAAAAGCCATACCATAAATTCCCTTTGTTGCTCTTCCTGAAAAGCCTGTTCTATTCTTTGCATTCCCCTTTCATTTTTATTTCAGCTTCTGTAAAATTATGCATTCATATCCTAGGTTAGTTATAGGCAATATTTAAATTGTATAATCACCAAAAATGATAACAATACAATATTCTTTGTGATGAGCAAGGTGAACGAGATCTGTTTTTAGAAATATAAAACATCTGTAACTCCCATTGATATCTGTCAGGGTGCCCCATCCATCTAAAAGTTTGGCTATTTTTATGTGGGTGACTAGACTTAAGCACCCAGAGATTATCATTTTGACCTTAACTCTTAGTTTCCTGTGCTTAAAGAACTGTGTCAGGACTCTTTGGGCATTTATACACGTGCTCCGGGAGAAGGGTGGGGGGACTGCTTTAATCGAAGTGGCTCCAAGAGCTGCTCTAATTAAAGTGCCTTGAGTGTCACATGCAACTGCGTCCCCATGCAGAAAAATGGCAGTGGGGGTGCTTTAACTAAAGCTCATTGAATGAGCTTAAGTTCAAGCACCTCTGCCAGGATTTTTCAGTGCAGAGATGCTGATACATGTGATGCTAGAGTCTGCTGGAGCATGGTAATTACCACGTTCCCACAGACTCAATTAATCGAGTCTGCTCTGATGCACTGTAATGACACCATGTTGGAGCAGGCTCATTGCACGTGTATAGGCGTGCTATAATAGTAATTGGGTGGTATGTATTACCTGTCACATATTATGGGCATGAATGCACATTCCACATCTGTAATACAAAGTAAAATACACATAGGTCCCAATCCTGTTACAGCTAAGGTCACCAGAACTACAAGCACAAGCAAAGTTTGCTGCTCAGTGGGTAAGATTTTTTTGCAGTACCTAGTCCTAATGTTAGCAGGTAAAAATGTATATCAAGATACAGTGGGTGTAGCTGATTGGATAGAAGGTGAGGAACAGGGGACACCAACACACAAGCAATTATTAGGTTTTATTTTAATTTTTTTCCCCTATGTAAATTTTATCTAACTCAGTAGTTTTCAGCCACCCCAATCTTTGTTTGCCTTTCTGTGCTCCCCGTTAGTTAGTGCTTAACACTGAGGAAGTTATTCCCCTTTCTAATACTTGTTTCTCAGCTCCTACTGTTTCTTTGTAGAGAAAAAGCTGAAATATTTGGTGTCTTTTGAAGCTTATAATGCTAATTTGGGGTTCTATTTTGACTTGCGTCCATTGGTTTGAAAGTGCTTGCAAGCACCAGTTTTTAGTCTTGGAATGCCTTTGTGAGACGGGTAAGTATTGTCCCCACTTTGCAGTTGGATAAACTGAGGTGAAAGGAGTGTGACTGTTTTTCATATTATACATTTTACAACACGTGAGTGATTTAGCATAGTAATTTATTTATTTGGACTCCTTCCTATGGATCTCATTCTCTTTCATAACCCTGTTGTGTCTAAGTGTGCAAAATTATCATTGATATTTTAAATCAAATGAATGTGTTATAGTTTGGTATCATAAGATATAATATACTTGGTTTTTTCCATTTGTGATTCTGTTATTAACCTCAATTCTTACTTCCCTCTTCCTTGCTTTCTAAGTATTTTTCTTTTTCACCTGTAATCTCCCTGGTTTGCTACCCTGACTCTTACAAAATGTTCCTAATGATCAGAGCAAGGATAACTTATGTCACTTGTCAGTATTTTCAATTGTACAACTTGCTGTGCAAGTTCAGTAGTAATTATTGTTTTTTTCAGCCATTTGTCAGCATGAAGTTAACAAGTTTTTCTGATGTATTTTTCTCAGTATTTCCTCTGGGTTCATTTTATTCTAGACTGCAAGGTTTTTATTTACAAATTATTTTCCTAGCACCCTGTTGTTCATTCCCGTTGATTTAAAAAAAGTGGAATTCTTAGGTTTTTACACTAGGTGGCACTGCTATCCTTCCAATCTTTCTGTCTCCTGGCAGTGTCTTTTTGCTGTGCTCTGTGTAGGTGCTGGGTGCACACGAAGTAACAAAACACTTCTCACAATTTCAGGGATTAGCAGCACCCCACTGCATTTTTAACCCTGTTAAGTCACTTTTTATATCAAAATGCTAGAGGCCAAAAAGTTATGGCGCCACCCAAAGCCTGCCAAGTTTTCTCTACATTTAAATAACCAGGCTAAGATACTTAACATGCTGGGGAGTCATAGTGTCAGCCTTGTTATCTTAGGAAACCCTTGTGGTTTGAATTTGGATGATATCCATCAGGACCTTCCTGATTGCAACTTACTTTGCAGGGAAGGTAGCAGCTGCTCACAGATAAACCCTCACAAGTGGTCTTTGGATTAGGAAGTGGTGAACCAGATCCTCCTTGGTTGGGGAGGACCCTGAGGTGGATCTCTTCGTCATGAGTCTGAAAGGTAAATTTGTTCTTACATGTAAATTATGGTTCTGCTAGTTCATACTATGCCAATCCAGACTTCAGAGTTACCCTTCCAGCCGGGAGACAGTTAAGACTTAGCACTTAAATAGTGCTTTATGATTTATTTCAAAGTACTTTTATAAACATTGACTTATTGAATAAGGACAAGGAAGACATGAAGGAAGATGGCTGTTATAGCCCTTGGTTATCCAGTCTTCCTCCCTTAAGAATACTCATAAGGTGTGAAAGAGAGAAGAGATACAGTGCATCAGATACACTGTATATAATCATTTTGAGATAGTATTAGTAGTAATAATACCTAGCTCTTACATAGTGATAATGGCACAACAGGGCTCTCTTCTTGTAAAGGGAGAGCCACATGGATTGGTGTAGGAGAAACTAGCAGAACCACTATTTTCACAGACAAGGACAAATTTAACTTTCTGCTATTTCCCCCTATACCAATCCACTTTATAGAAACAAAACATCCTTGTGAAAACTTGGATATCATTTGATGTGGGGAGAGAAGGAAGAGCGAGCCCTAACAGCTTAGGTGATTTTTGTAACTGTTTTTTTGTTTTAGATCAATTAAAAATTTAAATGACTAGTAAATAGTATATAGCATGTAGCACTGTGTAAAAGACTGCAGATTAGCCAGAAATGTAAGCTAGAAATATAAGAGTAGCCAGAAATGTAAGAGTATATTATTCCCTTCTCTAAAAAGCCACTAATGCAAATTAAGATCCGACGGTGGCTACAGAATGCAGGATTGCATTAACAACTATGGGAAAAGCTCCCAAACGAAGGAGACAATCCCATAATAAACAGTGATAACTGGATTGGGTTGTCCCCATAATGTTGAGAAATCCCACTATAGAAGGCTTCATAGCGTATACATAAAAATGAGCCATCTTCCCTCCTCTTCCCCCCTTCTCTGCCAAATAGCCAGAGAGCTCCATAGTCTAGGCTGGTTTTAGGAAGACATAGCAGAACATGACGAGACCAAACTTCCAGAAAAAGCAATAAGCATACTTGTTATGGACATAATGGGGAAAACTGTTCATGCATCTCTGTCCTCCAGTATTTTTATTCTGAAAGGTATTGCTTGTTGTTCCCCTGCTATGACAGATCTGATGTTTTCTGCTCCTAGCTGCCAGTAGTTGATTATGAGCAAAATTCCAACCTTGCAAATTGTAGTTGTTTAAAGCTAGGACAATATTTTTTCCCTTTTCCCTCTTATCTTGGTTTCTGGGAGTTTGGGAATGAATAATATGGTAATTCTGGTGAGTTAAATATTTTTGGGTTGTTTGCAGATGTTAAAAAAACAAACAAACAAACAAACAAACAAACCAAAAAAACAAAAATGCTTTATTTTAAACTTGGCACGTTCCCGCACTGAACCCCATGCGTGCCCAGAAGAGGCAGCACATTACTTCAACCTGGCTCACCCAACGTCTGTAAAGATCAGGTGCTTTTTGGGGGCTTTTTTTGGCACTTTTATCTAATAGCTGATTGCATCAGTTTTAGATAAGTGCCAAAAAGCCCCTGCTGAGGGACCCAGTCTTACAGATGCTGCAGAGCCAGGTTGAAGTAATGCACTGCTTTTTCCAGTAAAGCACAGTTTAGCTTTTATTGGTTTTTTTGGTTTTTAACATCTGCAAGCAGCCTTTATGTTTACAAGGAGTCTGGTAAATGTCATGTAGCTGGGATGAAAGATGCTGGCTGCTCGACATGGCATGAAACAAGTAGATCCCTTCATTCACCCTCACAAAGTCTGCCTTGATAACTCCCTGCAGTGACTGGAATGTCATTTCTGCCCCCCACTTATCTTTGAGGATAATTCGGCTGCTATTCTGAACTAACCCAGAATTTATTTTGCTTTTAAAGGAAAATATTTCTATTTGACATTGTGATGTCAGAAGTCCTCTCAATAACAATATAAAACTATTACTTGAACAGTCTGATACTTGCAAGTGCTTGTTTTTTGCATGGAAGAAACAGTTCACTAGATTGGGTGGTTAATTACTTTCCCTGAATGAATTGAAAGTCCTAGAGACTTTCGCATTTCGCACATACTCACTGATCCCGATATACCACATTTGACTATTTGGTTTTTCATCCAGTATCTTTTCTTCATTTCCAGTCTAGTCCAAGTTGACTCCACAAATAAAGCATAAAGCGAAAATGTTGCTTTCATTTACAATTTACCAAAATCCTTAAAGTGCCCCACTAGCTTTTATCTTCATTTGTTACTGATACATTGGCCGCTGATGTCAAAGCTGTCCTTGAGGAATCTACCGGTGCAGTTCCCACTGACAGTTTTGAGTTTCTCCTGCTTGTTTCTGGTCGAGTGATCACTTGGAGGTCATGTGAAAGACTATTCATATAGAAGCATGTGAGCTACGTTAACTAATATGAGAGAAACCTGTTTCCATTAAAGCTGAAGATGTTCAAGGAGGGTCTCTTCGCAGTCTCAAAAAAAAACCCGACTGTTCTAGAGAGTGTGGACCAACCTCTCTGGTCTTGGTGGCATGAATATTAATTCACAATTATTTCCCTGAAATATATTTCCCCTAGTGTCACTGAGGTCAGAACCAAGACCTGGACTGAAACCTGGATTATTGATCCATACTGTATTGTGAATATGTACAACATACCACAGCTGTAAAACTGAGTCACATAATTGCTACAGTATTTTAGCAGTAGTAATTCATTACAGCACAAAAAAACAAATTTTGTTTTCAGAGACAAGTGATTCTCTAAATGTGTGTTTTTGAGTATCGGTCATGCTGAGCCCAGTTTTCTAAGACCACTAATAAAGCATTAATGAAACAAAAATGAATACTTTATTTTCAAATGGAGTAAAGCAAGTGGTGATTTTTATTTTCCTTTAACTTAAATGACAGGCTCCCATGGGGACATGCTGGGGGGACATCTCAGAAGGAGTGCGAGTGGAAGTTCCAAACACAGACTGCAGCCTACCGACCAAAGTCTTCTGGATAGCTGGAATTGTAAAATTAGCAGGTTATTTTTTTTTCTTTTTCTGTAGATCACGTGTATTAAGATGGTCACAATGATAATTATATTTGGAGGAACTCATCTGTTTTGGTTTAAAAATGAGGAAGTAAAGGAAATACCCTACTATAAGAGGCTATCCTTCAAAAAAAAAAAATAACCCTCAAAAAACAGCCTTTAAGGAACTGTCACACTGGTATTTGAAATATGGAAATACTCCAGTTCCTTCTGAAGTTTAGAGTCTTCAGTGGTTGAGTTTGTTTCGCTGTTGAAAAGAGTAGAAAGTTTTATTTTAAATTATTTGATAGAATGAAGTAGTTGCTTCCAACCTGGGCTCTGCTTCTCCGCTCAAGTGGTTGAGAGTTTTGTTATGGTCTTTGAGAGCAGTGGTGGGATGCTACTCAGAGTTTTGACATTCAAAATCATTTCCTTGCAAGGTGTACTGCAAGTGTTTTCTAGCATGTGCTGAGAGCCTTCAGGTTCCTGTTGCTTCAGTGGAACTGAAAGTACTGATCGCTTCACTGGAATGGATTCTAAACGAGCAGTTTAGCAAGTGGCTAGGTTGAACTTTCCACCGTAAACGGTTTTCTTGGAAGGCTCTTTCATCTTATGCAGATCATGAACTGAAATTTTTCTCCTATGAGAGAGTTGAAAAGTTCCCACCTCCCAAGTTTCATAATTTTTTTCTCTTTCCTGTACTAGTGTTAAATGACCTTTTGTAACCCAGAGTTCATAGAGAGGTTTTTTCATATTCAGGGCAATTTAGGATCAGGAAACCTGAAATAATATGTCTCCATATCAGTGACCTTCTAAGGTCCGCTACTGATGCTTATCTTAATGCAAGTGCTATGTCATGACAAAATTAAAGTCTCTATAGCTAAAAGATCAAAAGTCAAAGTGTAAATAAAAGCTGAATGTACTCTTCTTCTGCATATGTGAAATACAGGTTGTCCAAGAGTCCAGCAACATGCTGTCAGAACCACATAATCTAAAGAAAAAAGATAGAGTGCAATATATGATGGTATTGAAGAAGTATAACCTCTTATAGCTCTGATTTTTAAAAATGGTATTGTTTCCTTTCAGGTTACAATGCTTTGCTAAGATATGAAGGGTTTGAAAATGATTCAAGCCTTGATTTCTGGTGCAACGTTTGTGGGTCTGATATCCACCCAGTTGGTTGGTGTGCAGCCAGTGGGAAGCCTTTAGTTCCGCCTCGAAGTAAGTGAATATTGGCATGACTTGTTCAGTCATGGAGATTATGGAAGTGTTCATGTTGTCTCTATTGAAGTAAATTCATTAGGATTCAGAATCAAATCAAGATTGTTCTCATATTCTAATGATTTTATTAATGTATTCTTAATTAAAGCCTTAGGTCAAATTCTGTCCCTTGGTCCACATGCACATGCAGTTATGAAACAGGGCCTCAATTCAGCCTTTACATGGCTTTTGTCATTATTTTTAACCAGTATTTTAACATTGTTTAACAGTTTTTACATGTTGCAGACTTTACCATTGTCTGTCTCTAATAGACAAACATAATTAGGAATCCGTGGCTGACTTTCCCCCCCTTCATTTGCAACAGCCATCCAACACAAATACACAAACTGGAAAGCTTTTCTAGTGAAACGACTTACTGGTGCCAAAACGCTTCCTCCTGACTTTTCTCAGAAGGTAAGTCTGGGCTGATATAAATGCTGTATATAAACACATTGGCTGTTCGGTATAAGAAATTTAATTATTTGCAATGGCACATGGCCCTCTTCTGGAGAAGATGGTACTGCAACCACTCTTTTCCTCTGTCTCTTCTTTAGGATGGCTTGGTCACTTTTTGTACTTCTTCAAAAAATTGCTTTCTCGTTAAAAGAAAATATTTTCCAGTCAAAAAATGATAAAATAGGTGAGATTTAATCTGAAAAATCCTCAACACAAATTTATCCTTAATGTCCTTCCAGTGACTTAAGACAAAATGAAAACTGGTTGTGCTTAATATAATGACTTAATTTAGTCACTTTTTTTCATTGGAAGAAACTCGTATTAAACAAATTATTAATATAGCATATACTTAGGTGCAATAAAATAATACTTCAACAATCTCAATATTTACCTCTTAATAACTGGACCTTTTTCTACATCTCTGAATTAGCAAAAAAAGTAAACTTGTTGACGGATGCATATTAAGTTTATAATTGGGAAACTGAGGAATTGCACAGTAGCATTCATTGGACCAAAAAGAGTTTTTTGTATGTAGCTTTCTAATAATAATAATAATAATATATACATATATGTATAACTTTATCCTTACTTATAGATCTGAATAATTGGAAACAAAATTAAATTGACACTTGTAAAAAAATTTCTGCAGGGGAAGGTTGTCATGGAAGTAGCTAATGACCATTGCACACTTTTAGGCATTTTTAAGAAGCAAAATGTAGATTTAGATCCCTTCCTCTTCTGTTCCTAGAGACATATGCTATAATGTATACCACTTCAGTTGGTAAGACATGTTGATGAATGGCCAGCTTTAAATAGATTCGGTAGTGACGACCCAAGGGTGTAGTTTTGTGTGTTTTGTTCTTAGAAGAAGATCTGTAATATTTTAAATCCTGGCATTAGGGGTGTGTGACAAAAATGAACAGACTCTGTTTTTACTTTCATTTATCATTACGTGATGAGGTAGTTTTATCAGTTACTCCAAACCAAGCAAACTCCTTTTCAAGTCAGTAGAAATGTTCTGTTGACTTAAGTAAGAGTAAGAGTTGGATTCAGAGTCTTATGTGATCTGGACGCACCATTTTAGGGTATTTCTGGTGAATCGTTTTGTGAACGGTTTGATGTGCAGGGATCTTGCCATAACTACATTATCCTGGCAAAGCTGGGATAAAAGGCTTGTGATGGTTTATGTATGTAAACGGATAAATCAATGACTAAATTAAGCAGAAGCTGCTTTAATGGCACGAGAGAGATGACTAAGCAAAGGTAAAACTTATTTTTTACAGAATGCTTTTTTCTTTTTAGGTATCAGAAAGTATGCAGTATCCCTTCAAACCTTCCATGAGAGTAGAAGTTGTTGACAAAACGCATCTTTGTCGAACGCGGGTAGCAATTGTAGACAGTGTAATTGGAGGACGATTACGACTGGTGTATGAAGAAAGTGAAGACAAAACTGATGATTTCTGGTGCCATATGTACAGCCCGCTCATTCATCATATTGGTTGGTCCCGAAGTATAGGACATCGATTCAAAAGATCTGGTAAGTGTGCTCTGTTTCGAACATTATTGGTTGCATATAGAGGCTTACTTGAGGGATATTGTTCACTTTATTATTTAGCTGAAAGAAACATCCTAGCTGAAGTGATTTCTAACTCTCAATTAATGATCCACAAAAATGTATAAATATCTACTCTGTACAGTGTTCAGTTAACCGCTTTTAGTGTTTCATTCCATCTTGCAAAATCTGGAGTAAGTTTTATTCAAGAAGCAACTGCAAGTCATGTTTTAGAAGCTTATATAAATAAGCTGCAGGAAATATATTGCTTCTGCGCACAAAATTTAGTGTTAGCCCTAGTTTTTCCTGCTGGCATCCTGAAAATACACACAGTACTGTCCCTGTAGCTGCCGCCTCCTCTCTGTTCACCTAATACAATAGATTCGGCACAAGCCTTCCATACGTTTAATTCAGGGTTTTTTTACCTCTATTTTTACCTCAAATTTAGGAAGTGCTTAATCTTTTTTTTTTATTATTTGTTTGTTTTTTGCTTTTATTGCAGCATGTAGCTGCATTGCAGAAGTTTTGAGGAGGAAGGCAGGAAAGCTAGAGGGGGGCAGTGGGAGCTAAAATCAAACATTTCTGTTTTGAATGTCATATGGGCTTTTTAAAGGTATATAAGTCACCATACGTTACTTGTCTACAAATTGAAGCAGAAATCAAATGTTTCCTCAGGCACCAGATTTAGACATTAAAGGATCAATATTTTTAATCGTTACAGACCTTCACTGAAACCAGTTAAAAATAAGGGAGCTTTTTTTTTAAAAAAAAAAAAAAAAAAAAAGAACACCTCATGTAGTTCTGCTTCCTTGAACTCCTGTAAAGCTTTTAATACAGCTGCAGGAATTCATGCTGGAGAAGAGGATGCAACAACTGGCTGCAAGGACCAGCTAAAGATCACCAGATTAAAAAAAAACAAACAAAAAACAACAACAAAAGAAAACCCCAAACAATATTTTGCAAAAATAAGTGTCTTTAGGGGGGAAAAACAAGGCAATAAACAGCATGGCTGCAATACCAAGATGTTCTGTAATCGCAGTTGCATTACATCAAACCCTTTTGTCACTTACACATAAAAATCCTCCTGTTTGTCAGTTATCTGCTTTAACCTAACAATGCAAAGGAGTTTGACTTGTTGAGTTTCTGCAAAAATCTCATTCAGATCGCAGACATTTCCTGAATTTTGTCCATCAATGTGTTCAGAATACAGGAATTGCATCATTTGTGCTATCTTTCCACATCTTCTAGGTAGCATTCTGTTAGTCCTCCCTATAAATTTTGGGCCAGCCATCCTAGTAAAGTGAAGCTACTGCATGGACTAATGTAGTCAGAAAAACATGGGTTTTGGTCATTTGTTAAATATTCACTGATTAGTATGTAACTGTCCCTTGTAGATATTACAAAGAAACAGGACGGACATTTTGATGCACCTCCTCATTTATTTGCAAAGGTAAGAACTAGACAAGACCTGTATTTACTCAGGGCTGAAAAGGGGAACTTTTCATCCCTAGAACATGTAGAGTATAATTAAGAACCTACCTAACAACTGCAAATAACTTCTTAAAATGCTACTAAGTAAAATTGATAGGAAATTTCAGAGGTGTAGTGGACTCAGTGCTGCAGGCTCTGATATTTGTCTTGTACGTTATTGTTTTCTTGTCAATGTATGTAATACCGCTATGGGATTCTTTAGGTAAAAGAAGTAGACACAAGTGGCGAATGGTTCAAAGAGGGAATGAAATTGGAAGCTATAGATCCTTTAAACCTTTCCGCAATATGTGTTGCAACCATTAGAAAGGTAAGAAAATGAATGCATAATTTTCAGAGGGGAGAGGAGGCTAGACATACTTTTAGATGGATTTTTTTTTTCAAGGGGGGGTGGGGAAATAACTTCTAATTGAAACAAGACAAAAAAGGATTTAGCTTCTTGTATAGCAAAAGTGACAGTCATTTGCCTTCTGCCCTGCAAAAAAGGATAATTTGTACAGTATGGGAATGCATATAAATGCTTCTGTTAACTGATTAACTGTTTCTGATGAGCGAGAGATAAGTGCATAATATTTAAAAATACAGCCTTACCTTTAATTGGCAAAGTGTGTTCTTGTGAAACTTTACCGCCAAGTCTCTCCTTCAGCTATTTTGCAAGCTGCCTAATTGCCTTCAGAAAGCATCCCCTCCAAATCTTTGCAAAAGTTTAGTATAGGTATCAATCTTTGAGGATTGCATGTGCGAAATGCTTTTGTGACTGAAAGGGGGTGTCATCAATGTGAAATCCGGGCAACTTTAAAATGCTCTGGGACTCTTTTATAGTGATAGATCAGCTCCCTAGCATGCACCTCTGCCAGTAGCTGTGGCTATGTGGCCATACTTTTTTTTTCTCCCATATTGCTTTGTGGAAGATGCTCACAATGTAAAAGGGAAGTTGAATTGACACAGGAAAGAGTAAAATTAGGAGTACCTAAAGAGAATACCCCCCCCCCCACTAATCTCAGTTATAACTTATAATAACTGTATCAGTTAACTGTAGTATAGCATAACTATAATGTAGTTCACTATAGCATATGCAAAAAATCTTGGAGAGAAATTTAATTTCATATATACTTGTGGCTTGTCACTTGCTTAATTTTTTCACTCTGCTTTTAAAGTGGCATGCTTTAATTTTTGACCTGACCTTCATATAATACCAAGGTATTTAATTTTCAACTTTGTTTTTTCTTTACAAAGGTGTTAGCAGATGGCTATCTTATGATTGGGATTGATGGCTCAGAAGCAGCAGATGGGTCTGACTGGTTTTGTTACCATGCCACCTCCCCTTCTATTTTCCCTGTTGGTTTCTGTGAAATTAACACGATTGAACTAACTCCCCCCAGAGGTACTGATGTCATTTTGACCAAGTTCTGTTTTGATCATTCATAGTGGTGTCCTATATGCTTTGTTTCTTAATTCAGTTTGCAAAGTTTGTATTGTTCTTCAGGGCCTTTGTAGCCTCAAATAAGTAATACGGTAATTACTGTAAGTGCAAGCTCTTTATTTTAGGTTACCTTAGTGGGTAGAGAAGGGTCAAATGAATTTTAATTAGACCGTGGTCAGATAGATTGACGTTTGCTTTGACTACACAAAAAAATCGACTTGTAACTTTCGTTACATTCAGCATCAGTCAACAGGAAAAAAAGAAATAAAAAAGTATCGGTGATAGGGAGTGTTGGGCTAGTGGAGGTCTGAACCTGACATAGAGTGCTTGTCAGTGTAGGCATCATTGCCATAGTGTTGCAGGTTTATTGGTAAGATCCAAGGTATCCTCCTCCTGAAATGTGTACAAACATGCATTTCAACAAGCATGCTTATGAGAGGGGTCATGTACAGCGAACCAGGATAGGCAGATTTCCCAGAAGCAAGACTGCCTGTGCATCAGCGTGGATCTTTGTCACCCTTATCTTTCTGTCATTGCATTGTTTTGGCAATTTATGGAAGGTGACATTGGCAGTTACATCACAGAAGATCATAGATGTTCTTTGCTTTTTTGGTAGGAAGTTTTTGTTCTCCATCCATATTTGTGCAGTCTCTAATTTTGTAGGGGAAAAAACCCAAAAAACACATGCTCTTTCCAAAAGTGAGCTTTTATTAAAAATGAATGCAGAGATTTTCTGGACATTAATTGTACTGAGAGCTAAGCCTGCCATGAAAAAATCATTTCATATTTTTTTCTCATTGGTCAACACTTCTGAATCTGCCAGCTTTCAATCTCTGCAGAGTCTACAGCTGAGCAGATTTACTTTTGCTCATGGTAGCTATAGCAGTCTGTGGAATTACTCAAGAGAATTGTAGAGGTAATCTGACGTAACAAAAACAGAAATAATCCATCCTGCTTTTTTTTAAATGCCCTTCTGTGCTTCTCTCGAAGAGACTTGGGGGAGTCCTTTAAAGAATTATTAATGATGACAAAAATGATAGTACTGGTAAGAGCAGACTTCTAAATAGAAAGTACATGAGAGGTAATGAAAAATGTTTCTAGAGGAAACCTGCAGTTTCATTCTTTAGACATTGACTGACTATACAACACATGATGGTCTTCTGTTACCACTCCGTACACTGTTGTGTTTCTTGTATGATAACCATTGTCCTCCTTGTATGCTTGTATCTGTATTTTCCCTTTAAAGTATTATTCATAACAGTTTTGTATCATCCACTGTGCATCTGTATCATTATAAACCATATGCCATTATATAGAGATCAGGGGTATGTATGACTAACACCAGAAATAAGCATATTATGTGGAACTATATCATTTTTAACATGATGGTCTCTATAATTAACATAATGAAAACCAAGAAGTATGCAGATGCTGACTTCTTGGTTTTTCAACATGTTAATTCTAGAGACCGTCATAAAGAAATCTGCAGACAACGGTTGGTCCATGGACCATGGTTTGAAAACTGCTGGTCTAACCAGCTGTGGGAGGTGGTAAGTCTGTCTTGTGAACATTCAGTAGATTAAACAAAAGTTAAATATATCATGGAGAATGCTTCTTCCCCCTCCCCCCTACAACAATTTATAAGAATAAAAGAAGGCCTTCAATCTCTTTTTCTTACTGTTGTTTTTAGCATTATTATCTAAGTTTTATAAAGATCATTTCAGAGAACGTGTTTTGCCCAGTCTACTCCAAACAAATCAAACTTTTTTTCAAAGATGTTTCTGCTGCAGGAAATTTATAGATGATTTTACTTTTTTTTTTTTTTTCCTTGGCTCCATTGTATGAAAAAGACTGAAGGTGAGGTAATATTTTTTGAACAATATTGTGATTTGGATGGTGAACAAAATGGTACGAAGACTCAGAATAATAACCATCTAGGAAACTTAAAGTGGGAGAGCTGTTACTATAGCAGTAAATGAGACGTTCTGAATCCTTCATTTGTTCATTTGTATCAGCTGATATGAGCAAGTTGCATTCTAATGGAGCATCTTGGCCTCTCATCAAACAAAATAGCAAAGTGGAAATTGCTGATATTAAAGTTCATCTTCTTTATCATCTTTTTAGTGTCAGCATTGTGCTAATACACTGCTTTTAAGTGAACAAAGTGTGCAACTGATGTATGACGGTAATATTCATAATTCACAGGTTATGCAAAGCTCCCTTTCAAATGGTTTGACTACCTCAGGGAAATGGACTCTATAGCAGCACCTGTAAAGCTCTTCAATAAGGTAAAGTAAATTACAGATCTGGTACCTTTATGACACATGTGCCATTTGTAGCCGATACTATGCTGTAAATTACAGCCACCTTACCCCTTGTGGTTTATCAATCTCTGTAAATATTTTTTCATATGGATACAAATCAGTCGTGAAGCCTGGAGACAGTTATTTTTAAAGACCATGTGAGTAGTACACTTTGAAAATTAACTAATTAAAGAAGACTATTTCATTCAAAGCAGAAATCCTTTGTGTGCATTCTGCTCATCTGAGTCAGGTTCTGAAAAATCTGCAACTTGGAAGCAGATAAGTAATACGTTATACTTCATAGATGGTGCCCTGACCGTGCTCTCAGCTTATTAATTTTACCATTCAAATAATGCTGCATGAATGTAGCTCGAGCAAAATATTTTCTCTGCTGTATTTAGATTTTGTGTATGAAGATGTCTGGCTTTTGTTCCCTAATATTTGGACATTTTGCTTCATTTGTCTTTCTAGGAAGTTCCAAACCATGGGTTTCACGTTGGAATGAAACTGGAAGCTGTCGATCTTATGGAACCTCGCCTGGTTTGCGTTGCCACAGTAACTCGTATTATCCATCGCTTATTAAGGATACACTTTGATGGCTGGGAAGATGAATATGATCAGTGGGTGGATTGCGAATCCCCTGACCTCTATCCAGTAGGATGGTGTCAGCTAACAGGATATCAACTTCAGCCTCCAGCACCACAAAGTTAGTTGTGTTGTCTTTGTCCATAGTGGGTCTTTTTTATGTCGAAAACAGGGGTGGCCAGTCCGTCATGCTTACCAAAAGTGGCAGGGGTAGTGTCTGTGCCATGCGACAGATCGGGGAGGGAGTAAGGAACACAGCAGCCGATAGGGCAGGCAGGAGTGAGCAGAGCAGCAGGGCAGGGAGCAGAAAGCAGAGTGACAGATAAGGCAGGAGAAGGAGGCGATCAGAATAGCACTTAGGGGAGGGAAGGGTGTTTGTGGCATACTTACTAAAAAGGTTTGGTCTCCACTGATCCAGAGTTTCACTAGTTGTCCTTTGGTGTATATACATGATAATTGCATGATACTCACCATACTTTTGGGGTCATATGGCCAGCTGCAGCAAAATGGAAGAATCCTTACAAATAGGCCCCACTCTACTTATACATTTATGCCACAACATAAATGGGAAGGGTGCTACAGGTGCACCCAATTTAAGATGCCATAAAACGGGAAATAAGCCATAAAAATGTTTCATATATAAAACATTTTTATGGTTTTAACATTTTCATATATAGAACACTTTTATGGTTGGTTTTTATGGCACCTTAAATTTAATATGTGGCTTGAGCCAGACAATCGGCTGATTATGAGTCTTGGGGCCCAGACCTCACCAGGAGTCTGGTCTGTGGAGCTGGAGAGGAAGGGGATTCAAAAGGATTCCACTGCTGGGGACTTTAAACCCTGTACCGTGCCAGTCTGGGCTGCAGCACCTGGCTTTGAACTTGCCAGTGGAAGGGGAGCCCAGGATTATTATCCCTGGCTTCATTTACACTGGCAAGTAGTAATGACATGATTGGGATCTGATCCCCAATCCCAGAACCATGCTTTCTGCCATGCGTGTGTAGCATGGCAGGAGAGGCATGTGTTGGAATCGGGCATCATCATGCCATTAAATTAACATATGCCAGGGCCTTAGAAACACATCATTCTGTTCTATTTTAATCCTTCTGTTTCTTTCTGATAAAGTGTTTCTTTTGGGTAGCTACACTTTTATTTCTACTTCTTATACCAACAGTTGTTTGCTTCAGTCCATTTAAAATCTAGCTGATTTTTGTCAGGTATAGCTAACATTATTCTTTATAGCACCTTGAATTTGCCAGGCATTTTATGGTCATAGGCCCTGAGCCTGCAAACACATACTTAGATAGTTTTCCACATTTGAATTCAGTGGAATTGTGCATGTGTATAATATTATTCACATGCACAGTTGTTGGCATGATGGGGTCTATATTTCATTTAAAAATCCCAGACAGCCTGCTTGTGTGATCATACTTAGCTTTTCAGTCTCGTGAACTTATCAGAGCCTGGAGAGAGAATACATATAACTGTATATTGTCTTAATGTAGATAGCTTGTGATCTGTATATTTAAACGTTGATGGGTTTTCAGGTAAGGATGAGGAAAAAAACATAAGAGATGGAATAGAGCTGGAGTGGTGTAGCTGTGATTCATCTTTTATTGGCTAAACTTTAGTTGGGAGCGATGTTAGACATGCTTTTGGGCACAAAGTGTCCTTCCTGGTGTCAGCAGATTCCAATCTGTCATCTAAATCAGAAATTTGATATTCCTTCCCTCCCCGCTCCTTTAAGTGTGCCATGTGATTCTGCAGTGTCTTTCTAATGTGACTGTAATATAAAAAGAAAGCCCTTTATTACTAGGAAACTTGGTTTGGTGTTTTGCTTCATTCTTCACCTCTTACTCCCGTTAATTAGTCTTCCTTTACCAGTAATTATTTTTTCTCTTTTTCTTTTGTTAAATTTATCCTTCTCCTTTTTTCTCATAAGTTATCCTAATATTTATTCTCAATTTTTTTTCTTCCAGTTTCTGTTTTCTATATCTGGTTTTCAGATGCTGCTTTTTCCACCTCTTTCATTTTTTTTTTTTTTCCTCCCAACTTTGTTCTTGTCTTCTGTGAAATCAGAGCAGCAACAAAGGACACTCTTTTGTGATGTATTATTTGTCCCGATGCTTTAGTCAGAAACAGGATTGTAGGTGTGAAAGGCTGAATTGCTCAATGAAATAGATCTGTGGACCCCAGCAGCTGTTTGCTCTCCTGGACTGCATGATGAGATATTAGGCAGGAAACATGGTAATAGGGCTAAGCATATTTCAAAGCCTGTTGGAATGGGTATAATTCAAGAAGGGTTCCTTCCTCTCCTCTGCTTTGTAAATGGATTCTCCTGTTTGTCATGGGTTCTGCCTTTAGTTATTCACGGAGGAAAATATTGTGCCAAATTATCTTTGTCTTACGATGCTGTGCAGTGTTTTCTCATAGCACTTGATTCAAAACTTTCATTCTGTATTTTTCAGCATCAAGAGACAGCCAGTCAAGTTCATCAAAACAGAAGAAAAAGGCTAAGTCGCAACAATACAAAGGACACAAGAAAAGTGGGTGACAAAATTAGTGCTTATATAATAATTTTTCTTGGTGTTAAAATTTGCGTAGTTACTCTCAAAGTCCCTGCTCTGTTTCAAAATGTTACTTGTTTATATATGCTTAAAGGTGCAGTATGCCTTAAAAGGAGAATTTTTTATTGATTGAGAAACATCTATTTTTTTTATAACATGCAGTGTTTTTTAAAAAGTTGATATTGTTGTTAACGTCTTTGTAAATTATAAATAGACAAATAAGTTAAAATATTTTTATACTCTTAAAACACTTTTAGGTACAGCAGTCTGTAAAAGTATGAAGATATATATTAAGATGATCCTGAGCAAAATATTCAGATATCAGTTAACTAAATGTTGATTCTTTCCTTTTAATTATCTGTAACAAAGCTTTGGATTTTGAAAACCGCATTCTTTTGAACTAGAAAGAAAACAAATACAGAAAAACTAGTTATCATTCTTTTCAGTTCCTTTTTAAAACTAAAATTTGTTTCCCAGGTTAAATTATATTGATTTTATTTTAATTGATTAGTTTGTCAATTAGAACACAACATAAATGCACATAAAACTTACTGGAAGCTTTTTATGAATAAACCCTGTTCTGTGGTTTTACTTACAAAGCTACTCAGTAGTGTTGCTAGAGCTAATTATTCTTGTCAGACTATAATATATTATTACACTTTTTTAAAGAGAGACTAGAAGTGAACTGCTGAAGTTCTTTCCCCATTAAAAATTTCTTCCCAGCATCCAATAGCTATTTTTCTTCAAAATGCAAAACAATTCAGTAACCGTTAACCCAGCTGATTTTTAACTTACCCAGATGCTCATTCTTTCTCCATCTGTTTTTATGTCTGGTCAACCCAATGAACTGTTTTCTTTTTGCAACTAAAAGAGAGTAAGAGGCAGTCCAACACAGGGGTACTTTGTACCTTCCTCCAATTTCCCACCCTGGAGATCAGATGCAGGGTGCGCCTTCTCTGAGTAAAATCTCTGGATCCCTTGGAGGAAAAGCTGTGACATGAATCTAAGACACTTTACAAATGATTAAATCTTGAAAGGGAGCCACCTTTTGGAATGGAGAGAAGCAACTGAACGACACACAATACACAGCAAATATATGTGTAGGAAGGAATACTCTGTACCAGGACCCAGGGAAAGTGCATGTACTTGCATACAAGCGCAGTGGAGTCTTTAGTATCCATACAAACCTGACAGTACCTTGATTTTTTTTTTTAAATGTTGTCTGAAAAGAGAGTTTATTTATCTACCATGTACGAATGACGAGCTTAATTGATCTCATTGAAATTGAAGGGTCTAGTTTACAACAATATAGCTGTTCTGAACCTCATGCTTTGAAGGACTATTTTATTGCTTCTGTTTGCATTTTTGGGGATTTCTTTAGGAAAAGGTATAGAGAGGGAGGATTTTATCTTTGCTGGTATAATATCCTGACAATATAATTGACAAAAGCAACTGCAAAAAAGTCTAAATGCAGTGGTATCACCTAATCTTCTTGGGGATACACTACCTGCTGGGCACTTGTGTTAGAAATTAAGACCCAAGGAGCTGTACGATAACCGTAACATTACACTTGGAGATGCAAGAATGAAAATTTGCAGACAGACTAGGCTTGATTATCTGACTGAAATACTTGGCTAAATCATTGAGCCTTTACTGCCATTAGAGTTGCCAGTGCACTGGTCATAGTCCTCAGTCCACTTAAGTGCAAAACTAATTAAATTTCAAATTTGGAGCGTCTTTACATAATCATACTTCTTTCAGGGGTGGGGAAGTTTGATTCTTCTCTCCCCCATCCTTCCAACAAATGTTGAAGCATGCAGAATCTCTAAATCCAAGCTGTACTTTTTTGTAAACATGGGATGAGAAGACCCTACAGATTACAGCTTTGAAGCTGTTTGCAGTAGAAATAAGTCTCAGACAAAGTGAGCCTTGACATGCCCCTTCTCTCTTGCTTCCTCCTCCCCTCCAATTTCAGGCTAGTCAGGTCACTGCAGCAACTGTCCATTTAAATGCAGTTCTCTTGTCAACAGCGCTATGAAATAAATTGGTTTTGAAAGAAGAAAAAAATTAGGTGCGCTTTCTAAAGACTCAGTAGAATTCACAGCCACTTGGCACGAGCAGAAGGACCTGCCTTGAATGGATATAGAAAGAAGGTTTAGCAACACAATAGGTAGGTACTTTTTGAAGTGCAGCTTTAACACAGCAGGGGAGAGGCGTCTTAGATGAGACCATGGCACCTTGTGAAGTCTGCTAAAATAGATCAGTTGCTACGGGTTGAAATCCGTTTCCTGTTCAACCTGAAGGTTTTGCCTCCGAAACAAAGGTTGCATAAATCAGAGGACAACAGTCTATAGAGAGACCCTAGTTTGTTTTCAGCAAATTCAGCCTGGTTTGGAATAGCTAGCAAACCTTCCTGTGTAAATTTTCGATTTAGATGCGCAAGTTCTTTCTTCATTGAATGGAGAAGATAAGCTTTGCCAACTTAGTCTTATGGACATAAATTAAACTGACTGGAGCCACAGGAGCAGCTTGTGATAGAGAATGTCCTTTTAAGCTTTGGAGCCTCGTGTCCTAAAATTTCAAGATCCATAGGGAAAAATATAAACCTCAGAAGGGAGGTCTTTAAATAGCAGCGCTTTAAATACCCAGTCTGTGAACAGAAGAACGTCAACGGAGAATGCCTGGAGAAAGCTCTAAGAGGCATTTCCTAAAGGCCAAGGACATAGGGCTGTATGTGCTGGTGTTCTGTGATTTAAACTGTCCTTGGAGGATCCTGGCATTGACTGAATGAGGCTTGCTAGACAGAGGCACCATGACCTTTCTCATTTTTTCCTTTGTCTCATTCCCCATCCTACATGTCTGTAAAGCTTGGAATCTGTTGCCTCGCACAACACAGACTCTGTCAGAAAAGGAGACTTTCTTTACCTAGTGACAGCCTGTGACCTAGTGAAGGGGATTGCAGTTCTTCTGTTATCATTAACCTGAAGTGGATTTGTGATGTGGGGGCAGGCAGTTTCTGATGAGTCTTTCTTTTCTGGGCTCTTGGCTAAAAACTTAGTGGAGAACAGAGGGTCCTTTCACTAGTGTGGGAATTGCAAAGAAGCGACTCTTACCTTTTCTGAGATGAAATATTAAGTCTCACTGAATGATCAAATTCTGGGGGCAAATGGTTCAAACATCCATTTCTGCTGCCATTCCAGCCTACCATCCACCATTCACTTTTTTACCTAGCGATCGAGTGATATTTTTACAGCTGTAACATCTGATGTGCTGCATGTGTAATTGTATGGGTGTGGAAAAGTGTGTGCTAGTTCCAGTGCTCTTTTTCATCTTCAGGTCTCTCATCTTCTCATCCACCAGCATTGAGTTGTGCTTTTTATTTACAGTACGGGAAATCAAGTTGGAGCCGATGCATCCTTTCATCAGGTAGATAGCTGATGGGTTTCTCACAATTTTTGAATTGACAGGATGATGAATTGCTTCCATTTCTGATCTCTTTGATTTTGGTTGTAACAGCTCCCAAATAAGTAAAATGTTGCAAACTTCTGTTTCCAAACTTACCAGCTTTGTGCGTGCTCTGACGAATGTTTGAAGGTGGTTGATTTCAGCATTGACTTGAAATGGATGGAATTCTGTGCTGCGTTTTAGTGACCAAAAGCTATATAGATAAAGACCGAAGTTATCCATTTGCTTTGGTTTATAAATTGTATGGTAGTTTACGGTAGTCTACTAGTACTGTTTTGCTTTTTTTAGCTTGTTTTGGTTTGGGATTTTTTGGCTAAACAACCGCTGAAGGGCTGATTTTAGTTTAGCTATTTCTTAAAGCTCTGGCCACGTAGATGACGTTCTGCTTAGTTGTGTAATTTTCTCTCTAAAGGACCAAACTGAGGCACCAGTCCTATAAAGCCGTGTTCACCTGGTCTCTAATTTGGAAAGATACTTATGCATAGGTATAGCTTTCAGCACATAAATAGTCCTATTAACTTCCAAGTTTTCTTGAAGTCTAGTCTTTTGTCAGATGTGGCTCCTTTTTCTAACTAAATGGGAAATAGCTAAGCATCTACAAACTTGGTTTTGATAACATATGGAAACAGAAATGGTAGACTGTCCCAGTGCTTAAAGACCTGATCCTGCCTGTGAGACCCTCAGAGACGCGGGGTTTGCCCACAACAGTAAATGTCAGCATCAGGGCCCTTACTTACAGGTGAAAACAAACTAAGAGTCATTTCTCAAGTTGAAATGCTCATTAACATTTGCACAGGACCATCAAAATGCTGGGTATCGTTCTAAATAATTAACATTTCAGATCTATTATGAACTAGAAAAAAAAGTGGTTCTCCCTGGGCAGAATTGTTTCACCAAAAAACATCCTGTTACACTATTATAATCTACTCAAATAGATGTGCTTTGGAAATGGAGACCTGAGGCGTTTTGTGTGTGCATGACCAGAGGATTGTACGTTGCCTATGAAATGCAACTGCTGTTGTAGCACTTTGGAGTGCACCCACTTCATCGGTAGGCTGCAAGATGGAGTAGGGCTGGCATGTTTCTTTGGTAATTTATTTGTAACCCTAACAAGTAATGTCTCGAATTCACTAATTAGAATCCAAGTTGTTAAGAAATGGAACCATTGACCTTTGCCATTTCAAGGCCTTGTTTTCCAGAAGCCAATGCTTGCTTGTGAAGCAGAAACATTTCTCAGCGACCAATCTGAGTTGCATCATTCACTTTAACCCAAGCGTTTACTTTAGTCTGACTTGATGTTTAGAGAGGAAGATACCAGTTGGGAAGAAGCCTGTCAGTTTGTCAAGCCTACCCATGGCAGGTGGGGTGCGGAGGAGCTTCTCTGGTGATGACGAGTTGACTCCTCCTCCATATCGAACCCTTCCAGCCCAGACAGCCCCGGAGGCCTTCCAGCCTCCCAGGACTAGCCGAGAGTTCAGTCCCGGCCTCAAAACAGGTAACTAGCTGACAACAGTCTCTCAGTTACTACCGAGGGAAATGCTGGACAGGGTGGGGGACAAAATGGCATACAAAATTCTGAGTCATTGACTTTTTTTCTTTCAAGTTAGAGGACTAGTCATTTCCACTGTTGCATCTCAGTCCACTCCCGTGAATGGATCATCAGGGAGGAGTGCTTCCCACAGTTCAGACCAACACGGCTACAACCTACACTCCCACAGTTTAGGACTTCATGCCAGGGCACATCCATGGCCTCCAAGTTCCCGAGGCACAAAGACATTATACTATATTGGAGGTTTAAATAGCATTAACCTGTTAACTGAAGCCTATTGAATTGTAATACGAGGCTACAAATGCCCCGGTAACATTAGCGAGAGAACAGAGTGAATTATTTCTCATAGGTGAAGCATTGTATGCACCAGAGATGCATTTATGTTGCATATGGCACTTCTGTTTGGGGAACAAAAAAAAAAAGTGCTCGAGTCTAAATTAGGTTTAAATTCTTGTATTCAGTGTTGGGTATGGAAAGAATACCTTGAAAGGGTTTGCCTTTTAAAAATAGACCTGGGTCTTTTCCCTTCTCTTTTTCCAAAGGCAGCAGATTGGTTTTGATTTAAACACTGGCAAGATGATTGTTCATCTTAATGGAAGATCAGAGAAAAACCTGTAAGAATTCATGTATTGGTAGTACTGAGCTGACATTAAAACACCGAGTCTTAGTTAAGAATGGTTTGTATAAAATAAGCCTACATGGCTGAAGCTGGAGATAATGCAAGCTCTGTTAGATCCTCTTAGACATTTCCTTGCAGTACAGAATAATGGGATGTAGCCAACACTCAAATTTATTCTTGACACCCAATACGGTATAGTTAGACCAGGGCTGGTCAGCCTGCAGCATGGGTGTCAGAAGTGGCATGGGCAGCCTCTTTGCATGGCATGCAGCAGATGAGGGAGGGGACAGGCAGCAGAGGGGCAGGTAGGGCAGGAAACAGCAAAGCAATGAATTGGGTGGGGAGCACAGGAGAAGGAAGCAGAAAGATCAGGCAGTGGAAGGGGATTGAAGTAGTACTTGGAGAGGGTGCAAGGCTAATTTGCAGCATACCTGCCCAAAAGGTTGGCCCCCACTGAGTTGGACTATCCTTCACGCTACCTTTCTGTTTAGCACTCTCCCGGCTGGACACTAGTTCTAGTATTCTGGGACTTGGTGAACAGGGAACTGTTGTTCACGTGGTCCATACCCTTCATGACTCTATCATATCCCCCCTCAGCCGTCTCCTTTTCAAACTGGAAAGTCCTAGCCGTTTTGTCTTTCCTGGTAGGGCAACTGCTCCAGGCCCCTGATCATTTTGGTTGCCCTTCTCTGTATCTTTTATAATTTTACGACATCCTTCTTAATATGTGTAGACCAGAACTGCACACAGTATTCCAGATGTGGCCACACCATGGGTTTGTATAGTGACATGCTGATGTTCTACATTTTGTGTTACGTTCTTAATGATGGCTAGCATTTTACTGGCTTTTTTTGTCACCGCTGCACACTAAGCTGATGTTTTTTGAAGAACTAGCTACAGTGACTCTAAGGTCCCTTTCCTGAGTCATAACAGCTAGTTCAGAAACTAGCTTAGGAGGAAGCTTGTCCTCCTAAGTTTTTTCTTTGGTACGAGAAGATTGTAGCACTATTCCTTTTCTTGTTCTCTCTGGGGCCCTGCCTGAGCACCAATTTTCTTGCTATTACCATTTGTAGAAGTTGGACCTTGGAGACCGTGCAGCCGCCAGCACCAGTACTGACCCCTGACAGAGTCCCCAGTAGGTTGAGCAGATACTTCCCTGGTAGTTGAATAGGCAAACTGCTTTTGTAAACCTTCCAAAAAATAACACTTTTTTCCACTAGAAATAGATTTAAATAAAACAACCAAAACACATGCACATGTTCCCCTGCCTCCGTGTCCTCACTCTGGAGTGTTTTGAGGCTTGAGATCAGAGTCTTTTCAGAGGTCCATGAGCGGAAGAAGCCACATGCAGTAGAAGAGATCCTGAAGTATGTCTTTTCTGTGCAACCAGTTTCCTTCCCCTTTGTCTGGTCCTTGCAGTTCTTTCCTACCTCACTGCCCTTTCCCCTTCCAAGTCTTTGTGCTCTGTCCTTTAAGTCCCAACATTATATGACTTGGTTACAAAAATCCTAGTTGTTCTTTTGTTTGGAGATGTGTTATTCTCCAAACTCTAGTCTGTTGCTGAAAGGTTAGAGAAAACTGGCTTTATCTAGATGGAGACAGCTTGTTGTCCCAACATGCTTTCAGGTTGGGATGTGATTCCTCTACTGTCCTTGGCCAGAACGAAAATTGTCTGAGCCCCTGATGACGTATGGCTGGCTTTAAATTTATAGAGGCATTCAGTGATGTATCAAGTTCACAGAGCAGCAAGAATTCATAAGCGGTTTTTTCAAATCTGTCAGCTAGCTAGGGCTAATTCAACTCCAGCAAACCTGCTGCTATCTGAGTAACATGGCTGTGGATGCTGATGAGCTGAAATAACGTTCTGACTAGCAGTTTTCTCCCCAGAATGTTGGGGTCGCAGCTGTGTCCAGGGCTAGTTCGTATGAGGTCTACAAAGTACCCTCAGCGCCCCACTATTTTAATGAGAACAGAAGACGTTCATCACCATGTAGAGGTGCTTAGCAACTCAGAGGATTGGGTCTTCATTTTCCAAAGATCATGTTGTGGACAAACATGCATCATGCTCTTAATAGTCACTTTCTATCAGAAAAGCAAAATTAGGATCTTTAAATAATTCCACTTCTCTCATGCCAGTACCTGTACAGTTCCAAATTTCGATAGCACTTTGGTTTCCTACCGTTAGAGCTGCTACTGCTCTGTGGCACAATCCTGCCGGGTGTTTTACTTGCCATGTGTATTTTAAACTTTTGGAGTTGTGACTGACCTGGCTTTTCAGCACTGGAATAATTAGATAGCTCCACTTGGACACTTCTGAAACCAGTCTCATTTTCTCTACAGCTTCAGTTGCCCATCAAGCCTGGTTTTTGTTTGTGCTTTTTCTTGGGCTGGGGAGTTCAGCACATAACACTGGTATAAGGAGAACCGGTGTTTGTCTTCCACGTTTTCTGTAAGGACAAAGTACTGGGGGAGAAATGTCCAAGTAGCTTAGTCGGTTCATAACAGCAAAGCATCTGGCATGGATGTCCGTGCCCTCCGACTCCAGAGGACCCTGGGTACAGCTGGTGGGTTAACTAAATGGCTTCCTACGAAGGCACGATAGCTAATTCCCTTCTTTTGCTTGTGTTTCTAATGCATAGTACATTCTGTAGGTGAAGCTGATGGCCTGAGCTTTTCTTAAGGACACTTGCAATTAAGAGCTTGATCTTGGGGGCTGAAGGGGAAAATGAAGTGGTTTTAAATATTTTGCTCTAAACATTTGAGTTCTAATTGACACAGCCTGTGACAAAAGATGATGACTGTTCCCTCACAATAACGCTTGAAGTATTTGGTAAGCCCACATGCATTATGGAAACAGAATGACGGATTTCAGATTCTGCTCCTTACCACTGGGTAATAAAACAGCATCTTGCCATTTATTATTGTTGATTTATTATGGAGACAGTACTTTAAGGATGCGGGGTCCTCCACAAGCTATGAAAAGGCAGGGCACTTGCTCTCATGTCAGACGTGATCTGAGAAGAAAGAGAGAGATAAATGAGTAATGGCTTTAGGTCAAACTAAAGAGGGAGGAGGTATTCATTAAATAAGGTTACTTGACTCTGCTATTTTAGCCGTTCTTAATATCTTAAGCTTTAAATTGCATCTCTGTTTAGCACAAGAGTAATTACCATAGAAGACCACAATAGAAGAATGATGAAGTGGCTTGTAAGTTTTACAGCAGGACTGCAAATAGCAAGAAGTTGTGGATTTAATTTTTAGGTATCACCACATAATTTTCCTGCATTTCAAAGCACATTAATATGAATACAACCTCGGTATCCAGTAATTAAAAGCTTTAAATCCTTTTTCTCATTCATCTGGTCATCCAGTAGCCATTAGTTTGATATAATTAACCTTTTAATGTGGATACTGCACCTTTAATGAAAATTTTGCCATATTTTCTTTTGACTGTTTCTGCTTTTCATATCTTCTCACATTTTGATAATTATCATCTTGTTTTCTTTTGTAATCATACTGAGAAGTTAATTGTGACATGTTTTGTACTGCTCTCCATGTTATCATTCTTTGTCTTTAAATCCCATTTTTGTTTTATTCCTATAAAAGAAGGAAGATAGAAGATAAAAACTACAGGAGAGATGTTTTGCTTGAACCACAGTTGCCCTTTTTGGGTTGCAGAAATTTGAATTTAAAACTTTCTATTTTAAAAATAGGTCTTCTTGCCTCGATTACAAACAAGGCCATGAAAGTGATTTGATTGATTGAATGAAGTCACCTGTGATTTGTAGGCTGTATATGTTTTATATTCATGCTCTGTTTGACTTGGCTAGGCCCTAAGGCATGACATTTGAGTTTTGCAATTAGTAATGCAAGTAAAGGAACCTTTTTTTCGGTGTGTGCGCTACATATACATGCACCTTCAAAATTTGAAGTTAGCCATCTCTCTATTTGGAAGCCTTAAAGGGAAGCTACCCAACCGTCTTGCTGTTCACAAGATAAGCTTTATTCCCATGGGCCCAAACTGTGAGTTATGCCTTTAGATGTTGGTTTCAAATGAAGTCTGCGTTTCTCAGTCTGTTCCTAAAAACAGCCATCTTGCTAAAAAATTGACAAATGATTGTGCCAGGGACAGAGCATGTGAGGAGAATTGGACTGCTCTTCCCCTTTTGACAGCCCACGTTCTCTTGCTGCATAAATGGTGAACACCAGACTCAGTTCTTGAAGATGAACACAGCTTCGTTCAAGTCAGTTGGAAAGCTGTGAACGTATTCCCAGGCAGAGTGCAACCATTCACATTTGTATTTGAAAACTGAGGCCACGTTCTTGCAGCTAGACCTGCTCATACCCATGTCTCCATGCTATTGAAGCTCCTGGTGGGCTTTAATGTAACACCTCCTGCTTATGGGATGCACTCGACAACCTGTTGTCCTGAACATGCAGAATTTACAGAGTACAGAGTTCAGATAGAGATTGTCACTTATCTATCAGTCCAGTACCTAACGTGACTGGGACTTAGTCTAACTGCCTTCTGCTTACCACCAAAAATATAAATAGGAATCAGACCAACCATTTGCCTCATGCCCATAGTGATCTTTCAGATTGCACTACTTCATTCCCATGAAACCTGCTGGCCGAAACACTCAGCAGTATTTCTTCTCTAAAATAAGCTGAAAGGAAACAAGACTAGAGAAATCTGTGGCCATTGACTTTCTGAGAAGTCTTGTCGTACCTTCATCCTACAGAGTGCGTCATGTCCTGACGGGGCACAGAGGCAGTTTTTTATAAGCCGAAGGCTCAGAAAGAGAATGCAAAGTGCCAACAGCCGGAGACCTTCCATAGCCAAACCATGCCTGCACTTTACCAAGTTAAGTGGTGGGAGTGTAGCTGGCTAGAAATAGCGTGTTCCCTAAACCAGTCAAAATATGCCAGGTCTGCTATGGTACATGGGGACACTTTTACTCTCTGAGCACAGCATTCATCAGAGAAAAATGTTAGATTGCAATCAGTCCTTTTGCTAGAAATAATTTTTATTAGTGAGCTACTAGAATTAGAAAGGCTTTTTTTGATTGGCCTAATACTATTGCATCCTATGTTCACAAAGAGACCACCTTTCCATTATGTCCTCTATTTAACCATTCTTTTCAGGAAAGTGAGACTTAATTTAAAATTTCTTAAAATACCTCTCCTTGTTTTGTATCAGTCCCTTCTTTATGCTAAGGTGGCTGTTTTATCAGACTGCAAAGAAAGGCAGACTTTGGAAAGAAAAAAGATTTTAATTCAATTCTGTTAGAACGTAGATTGCTCTGCCACGCAACATGAATGATTAGGAATTCACTAATTTTAGCATATCTTACCAGCTGGCCATTATAGACAGATTAACTTTAATATAGACTCAGGCCTGCTGTTTTTATTGTCCAATAGTTATTCTTCTAAGCCATGGTTAATCTGTTTATGGTTTCAATCACGGTCTTAACCAGAGGTGTTAACATGGAATTCTTGAAGCAAAAATGAATTTGGGGGAAGCAGAGGACTCTTACAGCAGAGTTTCTCTAACATTTCAAGTGCAGTTTCTTTTTGTCAGAAAAGTCAATGGCATGTTCTTTGTGGGAGTGTTGGAGGAAGATTGTCAAAGTACAGGACATGAAATAAGAAAATCTGGGGTCTGTTTCCTGTGCCTTAGACTTCCCCTGGGCACTCTTAGCCTTTCCCCACCTATTTTTCCTATCTGTGAAATGGGTCTAATACCTACCTGCCTCACAAGGTGAGCTCCATAATTCATTAATACCTCTGAGAAAGGTACATTTAGGTCTTTGCCAGGAGGGCACTATAGAAATGGATTGTAAATTTGTGATCTAAATGTTTGCTTGCTTTACTGCTAGCACCACCGAGATAATCCAGTTATGGAAGAGTAAGCAGCAGCTTGTCAGCTAAGTTCTGATTATGCCGTTTATCTTACTGGAAGAGCTATGAAAGGTAGATCACAACTTGGCCAGGGGAGTTTATTTGGTACGTTTTCCCCAGAGCCTAAGTCACATTGGCAGGACTGGGAAGAAAGTTAGCGTGGAAGCCAACAGTCCTTTTTCTGTTTATAACTGCACATTTTAAATCCACAGACCTAGAACAATGTATTTTATTGAACAGGTATCAACATTTAGAATTTGCAGGGCAAAACTTATCTACATTTTAGCAACCCAAACATCACTGTATTAACCAATAAACTGAGCAGGGACACTTGCCTGCTTGCTTAAAAACACAAATTTTATGTAGCGGGGAGAAAATCACATCAGTACATTTTTAGCTAAATTAATAGGAAATCTGTACAGTTACTTTGAACCTTTACAAGCCTTTAACTTTCACTTTTATTTTTAGTGACTTCACTGCAGCTGAAGGAAGAGTTACTAGACGGCGAGGAATATAGTTTTCTTCAAGGAGCATCTGATCAGGAAAGCAATGGGTCTGCCAGTTACTACATCAAACAGGAACCTTAAGGCAGCTCAGAAATGTGAGGGGCAGGGTGTTGGTGATAGAGGAAGAAGAGCCTTTCTACAAGACTGACTGATTTTGTTCCCACTTTGATGGTACAGTTGCACAGCTGTACTTGGGGCACTTTGCTACCTGTAGATGAGACTCAGTTCAGAATTTTTTGGAAGGGCAAGGAAACTATTTTAGTGAAAAAAGATTTTTTCAATTTATTAAAAATGAAAATGGACTTTTTTGTGTTGTATTTGAAGCTTTTGAAAGAATTTTGTAATATTTTCAAGTTCAGATTTATTGTGCATTGTTAACAAGAACTGAAATTCTAATTTTTGGTAAGACTAAAGTTTAATTAGCAGGATTGCAGGAAGCTGTTGGAGGAGAATAGAGTGGCAAGTACAAATGAACTGTCATTATGAATGAACCTTTTTGGTACAAGTTGGGAGATGTTAGGCTCTCGTGAACTGCACCGAGTCACACCTCTGTTTTTTAATTGTGAAATATGGAAGTGAAGCCCTGGCTCGGAGGGCAAAAATAGCATGCAAATGACTTGGGGAGGCCAGTCCTGTCGCACCATGCTCCTGTAAGCAGGCCCAATATCAGTGGGACAGTCACATAAGGGAGATTTTAAACTTTTCATGGTGGTTTTTAATTACGTAAAGTAAATAAGGTTTATTAAATAAGTCTTTTAAATAATCTTATTCGGGACCTGATTCAGTGTCCTTCAACATCAGTGAAAATATATTTTATTGACTGCAGTGGGCATTGGGCTGGGACTAATGCATCTTTTAGCCATACATGAATGTCTCTTCGCTTTGGGATGCTCAAGCACATGTTTACAGAGCCTTAAGCTAAACTGGAACTTTACAGCAGAGTCTCTAATTGATCAAATTTGACAAGATTGCGTGTTTTTAAACTAGTGAGATTGAGATGGAGAATAACTCAGGACCATTCTCTAGTTAAGCCTGTATGGAAAAGAGGAAAAACCCTGAGGACCTTTTCTTTATTTCTGTCCCCCAGAAAAACCTTGACTCTTCCTTTTGATCGTGCTCAGCATCCAGGTATGCTGGCACCAGCAAAAGAGATGTTTCCTTTCAGCTAGAAAAATATATAGTAGAAAAGCAAATTTTTACTCCAAGGTCTTCGGGTGCTGTAATGCTTTGCTTTCCCTATACGAGTCGGAGAGTTCAGTTTCAAGGCAAGTATTTTGCCTTTTTTGTAAATTGGATTCATTTGGTTCTAGATGGAATTCTGGGATCTTTTCAGTCTCACTTTAGGCATCCCATTGCTCCAGACATCTTAACTAGAAATTTTAAATAAAAAAACCTTGCAAAATATAGGGAGTAGCAGCAGAATATAAGGGAATTTTAATAGGAGCTGAATGATCTGGTTCCTCCACCACCCCCTCCCCATTTTAAATGAATTTGGATTTGGCAGGTGGCCTCATTCTTGGAGTGGACTAGCAAACTGATTTTTCCAACCCTGCAGAGTTGTGACTGGAAAAATGTGCACGAACTTTAGCTTTTACCACTAAGGTTCATTAACTAAACTCTCAGGAATTAACTACATATGTTCTATAAGTGCTTCTGGGTCTTAGCAGGTCCCCTTCAGACCAGTACCATGAGCATACGACTCTTGACCATAAGGTATGGGCTTGGAAGAAATTAATCAGAAATGATTAGCTTCTGTGGTCTATCAGCCTAAGAAACACTTTAAGGATATCAACCCACAGAGCCCCAGGAGACCATTTTTGGTATATTCTTGTTTGAACTTTTAAAAAGAAATGCATAGAAAGTTGAAAACCAGCAATTTGATTATTTTCTAAAATATGGCTCTAACTTTGGGTACATAGCATTGGTAATATGCACAGGTTTACCTCATTCTATGCAAGAGGGGTTAATGATGTAAAGTTTTGTATTTACTACTGGAAGTAAAATTTGTCCTGTATAGTGTAGAAATGTCTCAAATTTTTTTCTTCTTCCCTCCCCTAGGCAAATTTTTGTAATGCTTGACCCCTTTTTGACAACTGTTTCTTCTCTCAGTTTGTTATTGGGCATCTACTATCTGTGAATGTAGGGGGCAAAGACATTTTAGCTCTCTAAAATACCTACATTAAAATCTAGACTCTGTCAAGGTTGACTGGCCTCTATGTACCCCCCTCCCCCCACCCCCGAAAATCTGAACCTTCCAAAGCAAGGGCTGCAATATAGGCTCTGGATAGATTTAACTTAAAGCCATTCCAAAAGGGAGGAGGGGAAGCTTGCTGCTTGGGAGCAACTAGTATACGTGGTCTTAATCCACAGTAATCCTAAACCTGTTTTGTTCAAACCTGTTTAAAGTTTGAGCAGTGTAGTCCACCTAAATGGTGCAAATGTGGATAGAAGTAACTGTTATAGCAACAGTTTGTGCCGGTGTCATTCAGAGTATATCTGTTAAATCTATCCATGCCCATAGTTGACGATCCAAGCTCAGGAAAAGGGGAAGAAGCAAGCCCAGGATTCTGGATTTACAAGTCAGTGTAATATGGGTAGTTCAGTGTGTTTCAAGTGTGCATCTGCTTTCCCTGTGACTTATCACAAAGTCCAGTTCTGCCAGCTTTCAGACAGATCGAGTAGTACACCTACATCAATGGAATTAGTTGCCTGTTTTATAGAAATGCTCAGCATCATTAAGGCTGAAAAAATCAGAGCACAGTAGATATATCTAGCTTCATAAGGCCCCTTCGCATATAAAGTAGTACTTACAGACAAACGTAGCTCCATTGATTTTTGGGGAAACACTATTGCATTAATGTTCTTTACTGTGAAAAGGAGTGGGCCTATAGCAAGCAAGTAAGTACCACGAGAGCAAGAAATCCAGAGTCCTGGGCCTACCTTGAGAACGCAGATTCTCAAGGATATTTATTAGTAACCCTACTGTGACTGGATTCAGATTGCAGGTTTGGGGAGGAATATTAATCTTTTAGTAAAATGCATTTCTGGGGGAGAGGACAAGGTGCATATGCCATGTCTGGGGTCTGTCGACATGTACAGTGTTCTGTAACCCTGGGTATTTGAAAACTAAACACTATTGCCTATGAGCTGAATTCCACCAACGGATACATGGGAGTGACTTTCATGGGAACTGTAGATGGGTATTTGAGGGTGGAATTTCACTCGATTCTGAATCCAAAGTATACCTAAATCCGTCACCTGTCAAGTACAGTGAAACCTGTCCTACACAAACTGCATGAGAAGCCAGCTAAAATTGCTTAGGTTTATTTCAGTAAAACCCTGAGCAACATTGTATTAGTTATCTTACTTGGAGGAGGGTCTTTAAAGTGGTCTCTTAAAACAGTGGGTTACCTGTTAGCCCTGGTATCCTTAGTATAGGCTTCACTGTATTTGTATTAGCCTTAATGGACATGGTTCTAAGCATTTTCTTCCTTCGTTTTACTCTGAACCATGTTACTTGGCTAAAAGAAGGGTGAGATGTTTGGTGTTAAATCTCTGCTGGCAACCAGTCGTTGCTGTATTTGGCATAGCAGGTTTTTATAACCAAGGGGCAGTGCAAGTCATGTAGCTTGCTTTGAAACTGCCCCTTCTTTTATGGCTCAAAATTTTACTGCTGACCTTGATCTTGTATTATTTTAAATGCAACTCTTTAACCTTTTCTTTGCTCTGTCGGAGGAAAGCTAGAGCAGTTATCAACTTCTCGTTCTACGGATACTAACACGGGTTTCAGTGTTTGTTTGTTTTTATTATTATTATTATTATTGTTTTATGTGATGTGAATACCCTCTCCCATCAATATTTGTACTATGGTGCTAATATATTTGGTAACAATCCTTTATTGGGAAGGGATTAAAAAACTGTGATTTAAAATGAATTTTTCTTCCTTTTAATTTTCATATTTAAAAAAAAAAAAGCCACAGCCATTTATACAAAAAAGAGCATCAGCTTTTGCCCCTGGGAAAATATATTGGGGCGGGAATCAAGATAAAAAGAATAGGGTTTTTACATCATTTCTGTATGTATTTGATATATAGATCAATATCTGTACAAATTTAATCTTTTATTTTCTTGGTAATTTGTGTGGTCAATGAGAGAGAGTATTTAAAACTTTCTCATGAAATGTACATAACTAAGTGAAAAATGCTTTTGGAGAAATTAATGTTACTTTCATTTTTACCAGACTGCAGATTTTCAGCATGGATGTGAAAAGCATTAAAGTTATAACTTTGTGTACAAGATGAAAATAATTCACTAAATTTGCCTTTTTTTACACAAAATAAAAATGTTAAAGTAATACAGTGTGGATAGTGACTTTTTGTTTTTGTTCTCCAGGTATATATTTAAACACATGGTGGCTTGTTACCTGTCGGCTCTGTCTTCCTGAGGGAGGCCGGCACCCAGTTTGCTGGACTTACAATGGACTTTTTCTTTCCCCCACACCTCCCACCCACACACACACCTCATCTACCCAGAACTAAGCAGAAGAAAAGTTCAATAGGCATCTCGGGCCATACATTCCCCGGTCCCAGTATGGGAGGCCTTTTTAAACTTGATTGACTAAAACTCGGTTGCCGGGTTAGGGAATGCTGAGGCAAGAGACCAAGTCAGAGTGGGTACAGGCAACATTTGAACAATGATTAAGGGTTCATCACAATGTCCAGCCCGTTGGAGCCCTGACCACAAATGCTGTCATACTTTTCCCGGGACAACTGGTAGAAGTCCTCCTCACAAGGTTTATGAACACTCCAAGTAATCCATCCCTTTAAGTAAGATCTGGAAGTCATGCTAAACTGAGGCTTATTCACAACAGGTAAAATACCCTGATGCTGCAAGCATAGCTAGGCCATCTGAAAAGAAACAATGTGGTATCCCATCCAGCATATCTTCTATTCATAAGAATTTCAAGCTGGCTCCTAAGTGTCTGGTTACTTCTTAAAACCTTGTTTTTCCTGGTTTGTTAATCAGTTTCTTGAGACGTTCCAAACCAGATAACCCCTTGTCGCTAGAAAAAATAATTATTTACACAATTAAAAGAATGCTTTGGGTATACTAAGGGTATAAAAAGCTGTAAAAGCAGCAAACAGTGTGCTTCAAGAGAGGAATCTCTCTGACACCACCCGCTGCTGTTCTCGAGAAGCTGGAAGAAACAGGTCATCTCTTTCCATCGTCTGTTTAACCTTCAACGATCGTGCTAAACTTTACATGTCAGCAAACAACCCGAGTGCATTGGAATGGTGAGATCCCAGCTCTCGCTCTTTCTCTCTTTTTTTTCTTCTGTAGGCATAGATTTCTGAACCTGAATTTTATTGGTTAAGCTTAAGCTAGGTTTCCCCGAATACTCAATGAAACCAAGGTAATACTGTAATAGTTTTTGTTTGTTTTCACTTGCATGGCTATTACTACTAGTAACATTATAACTTTCATATAATTAGCAATAAATAATTTTTAGTCAAACTGGTGGTAACTGGGTGTATTTTTCCTTCTCTACTTCTCCTTCCCCACTTGCTCTGCAGCAACGCTTCTTTTACCTAAGCTAAAGATCCTTGCAAAGCCCAGAAATACTGTGGGGTCTGCTCAGCAAGAGGCTACCACTACTAGGACAGTTAGGGCAAAAGATTGGGACCTGCTGAATTTAAGACACACAAGGGAATCATTTTGTATAGGCTGATCGACCCAGTTTGGCTCAGTTGTGCTCTAACGAACTGAATGCTGGCCCATGATGGTGTCAGCTGGACCCCCAGCAGGATTCAGAGGTATTCTGTTTATCTGTGTGCTTGTGTCTGACTGCATTTTGTTACCTTAATGAACTGATTCCTGGCATATGAGGGTGTCAGCCTGTCCATGCTGATCAACCCAGCCGGGTTGGGTGTGTCACATTAATCTGTGTGCGTGTGCATTTGACTGATTTGGTGGCTGGAGAAATCCAGCCCCATTGAAACTCAGTTCTGTAAGATGGCTCAATTGGGGATGAGGACTTGCAGAAGGGAGAGAGACAGCTCTGTACAGAAACACAAGTAACACAAGCAGCACATTGATAGAATTACAAAGACCCTAAAAATGTATCCCTAATAAATGAGCACACCCCAAAGTGATGGGCAAATCTGGTAACGCTTCTTTGTTTCACCAATTACCTGAAGCAAAAAAAGAGATTTAGTTAATCAAATCAGAACAGTGATCTACACAACTACAGGCTTGTTAGTCTGAATTCAATATAGTCTGCAAGGTTTTAGAACAAGTTTTGAAGGAAAGAATAATTTAAGGATGTGAAGATAAATAGAAAATGGGTAAGTACAATGAGCAGTTACCGAAGGTAGATCATGAGAGAGAGAGATCATATTAACCTCAGGCAAGATGATTGGTTTTACGTTATTTTTTGCACACAAGGAAGTGTGGTTGATATAATCTGTCTGAACTTTAGTAAGAGGCAAGGATTTCTTAGGGTGATATCTTTTATTGGACTAACTACATAGTTGGGATAGTTAGACAATCTTTCCAATGTATTTAGCAAATGCAAAGTCAAGCAATAGCCTTCTCAGTAGCTGAGTTCAAAGTTATTAAGCCACCTCTTAACTCATAGAGGGGACACTCCTCAGTATTGTGCGGCATTGTTTGTATCTCCACAAGTACATGATGGGTTACCACTGAGGCTCCCAGTGAAGGTTGGCTGTGGGGGGGCCTTGGCCTGTCCTGAACCTGTTTAGCAGGGACCACTCTTGCCATGATAGTTCAAAGCCAGCAGGTTGATGAGTGGGGTTTATCACAAGGAACTTGTTTGTGACTTTCTTTGGTTTAGGGGGCATCTGCAGACAAATCCCAGTCAGGGAGGTTGTTCCATAAGGGAAGTTGCGAATGAAGGCAGGCCTTGAGTAAATTAAACAGGTTGTCGTAGAGTGATAGGTAAGGTGCAGCAAATGGTTTCGACCAGCTTTTGGGTCGTTATCAGTCAACATGCATGGGGGAGTGATATTTGCAAGGACAGGAAGCCAAGGGAGAGAAGTTGAGCGGAGGGGTCCAATTATACACGTGGTTGCATTCAGCTGAATGTCGACAAGATGTGTGTGGTGACTTTTGCCAGGCAAGTGCACAATACTCTGCTGTTGAGTATGATGGGGCAAGAGCTGAGGTCCAGTGCTCTGGCTGCAGCTCCCCACATCAATCCAGCAAGCTTGGCTAGCAACTTGTTCCGGGATTTGACCTTTGCTGCTGCTTAAACGTTCCTAGAAAGTCAGGGTTCTGTCTAAAGACACTCTCAAGTATGCTGGGCATGGATCATGCTTTAGTCTCTGAACACCCATATAGACGTTAAGTTCTTTTTTGGTACTGGAATTGTGGAGATGGAATATACTGGATACGGTTTTGGCAGGACTCGGTGTGGTGGTTTTCCAATGCAAAACATTGTCTAATTCTATCTCAGCTAAACAATTCTAGCTATATTGTTCCAGTAAAGATACCCAAAGATTTTTTAGCATGGTTTCTCAATAAAAACGTATGCAAAGTAGGACTTTGGATGAACTTGAGGGCTAGATTACCAAAAATGGGATGCCATGTAATAGTACAAAGAGAGAGATCATATGCTAAGTCTATGACGAGGATTCCTCCTATAAACTGAGACTCCCTAATCAGAAGCGACAGAGGAAGAGAAGAACTGAACTGAAGTAAGCAGTCGCAGAATGACTGTCACCAATGTGATGGGTCCTAATAAAGGTAAGTGAAATACTTGACAAAGCATTTCCAGTCGTGTTAGAGAAGTATTAATGCCATTAAACTAAATATTATGCCATTAAAATATAATACCTTGTACGAACCTGATGCAAACTAATGCTCGAGAAAGATGAATTCAGACTGAAACAGTTGCAGAGAGAGCTAGTAGGATGATGAGGGGAATGGAAAGCCTGTCACATTTAGGAGACAATAGCTTGCCTTTAGCCACTAGCCACTCACATAGAACAGAGGAAACATGATTGATTTTTACAAATGCATTTAGGGTAAATGTCAGAGAGGGAAAGGCTATTTCAGTTGAAACAATATTGGCACAGAAAAATCCAACAACATATGAACTATGAAGAACAAAATAAAGTTGTTAAATGAACTGTAACTATTTAGTTTCTGGTAACTCCAGCACTGGTAACTTGGTTTTCAGTACCCCAGTCCATTTATTCTTCCGGTTAAGTATTTATCTGGCATACACACTTGATAGTCATACTTGAATAAAGGTTAATTATGTCCAGGAGGAAGAACCAGCCAGTTGTAAACCCAGCAAAAACAAGGCAAGGCACTTCACAGTAAGGTAAACTAATTTCAAATTCCTACTACTCCCTGGAGTTACAATTGCTTAGTTAATCTCCTGTATGTATCATTATACCAGAATAAGCAGCTCCTCTATTGCTTACTGAGGTTAAAAAAACAACCAAAAAAACAAAACAGCCTGTCTTAAAAGTGTGTTTGTATAGCACTTACGTGTGGAAAATGCCCTAGCCACGTACCCTATCTATTCTACAATCCTGTGGGATTCATAAATCTTCCGATTAGTTTGTTTTCAATGAAGCAATTTTTTCCCCTGATGGTTGTGATGGGGGAGGTAAAGCAGAATGAACAGAACCCTAGCCAGTGCAGCACTGTGACGGTGTATCTGGTGGAGAAAAGCATCTGGGAGGATAGCTCAAGTAAGCTGTTTTTAAGTGCCACCATCTGGATAGTTTGAATGCCTAAGGGATGGCACTTTTATCAGAGCAGTATTTGGGAACTAAATTGGGCATGAAAGTTATTCTACTCCCCAACTGCAGTTCAACAAGCCATACAGTAAGCAACTGAAATAACTTAAGCTCAATTTAGTTGCCTGGCTGTTTCCTCCTCCTCCCCCCACTGTAAAAAACAGGAAGATTGTTCAAATTTAGGAGGTCTTGTCTTTCATTGCTTGCACAAGATCAGATGAGTGCTGGACTGGCATTCAGCCACTAAGCTGCTTTGACAAGTCACTTGTCTCTGTGCACTATTTTCTCTTTAAAAAACCCCTCTTAAATTAGATATCTAGGTTGTAGCCATACTGGGCTAGAGGCAAAAGGAATCAGAACTTAGTGTAGAGGTGATACCTTTTATTAAACCAGCTAGATTTTTGGGAAAAAAAACCCCCAAAAAACTCCCTTTAATTGCAATTGTTCAGGCACAAGCACCCTTCTTCAGGCATTGGAGAAAAGATTGTAAAAAAGTTCTCCTGGGTAGATTTTAAATCATAATTAAGCATTCTATTGCATTCACCTGTCCTTTTGTCTAATGAGAACACTTAGA